ATTCAGCTAAACTGTGCATTGTTCTTGCTCGGTTCCGCGCATGGTATGAAGGGCCCGGACAAAGGCGAGCAATGATATCGCTGAAACTTGCACACAATTTATCGAGTTCGTGACTTATCGTGACATGATGGTACGGATACTACTTGTGGCAATGCAAGCATAAACCTAGGGCACACGGATGAATGTGGACTCGTGAAGGTTTTGTTTAAGTACCCATCTCGATGCAATTCTTCCTCTATCCCATGTTGTCGATCAACTTAGTGCAGCTATCGAAGCTTTAACGCTGAGCACTTGCAACCATCGTTTCGCACCAGGCTTGGCAGTGGGACGGTCGAACTAGCGCAAGTACTATCGCCGAGTAAATCCACGTAATGTGTCCATGTCAAAGCCCCTCCCATGACAGCCTCCGCGTCGGTGCTGATACTGAAGCTATCATCTGACCACCCAATGCAGCAGCATCCCTGACCGTATTTAGAGTCCAAGCGGACAAAGCATCCGCTTGCCTTCCGCGTTGTTAGACCGGGGACGCAGCCGTTCTCGCATTCGCTTGATTGCAGGCCAATCCCAAGGCTTTCTCGTGATCGTCACCTGAGCTGTTCAACAACTTCCTGGTGAACTTCCTCACCACGAGACCTTGCTAGGAATAATTGTATAGCAAGCGAGACAGGTATAAGAACGCAGTGCGCGGGGAATATTGCAGTCTACCCATCCTCGGGCCTTTTCTTGTCAGGCCTTTTATTGAGACCTAAGATGCCACTCGGTGCACAATCTGCGAGGCTAGGACAGTCTCTCGTGCATAACGCACGTCCAGTGATACCATCCTTGTCAACAGGACGCGCCACGCTCTCCACTGCACATGCCCTGCGCTCAGCGAGCAAATCTCCACTGAGGATGGAGAATCAGAAGAACGTAGGCCACCTGCCATCCTACGCCCCTGTTGGCGTTTCTGCCGCGCTCGATGCGTCTCCATCATCGAGTGCGTATGACACCCCTGCCGCGCTCATGCCCACACTGAAACCGAACGCTGGAATTCACCTTCAGCGCCGAAGCCAACGTTGTTCGACCACGAGTTCTCCCTGGCAGATCGTGTCGCCCTTGTGTCAGGCGGGAACCGCGGGCTTGGGCTCGAGATGGCCATGTCCCTGGTTGAAGCAGGTGCACGCGTAGTATACTGCGTTGACCTTCCAAAGCAGCCTGGTGAAGAGTGGACCAAGGTGAAAGAGTATGTCGGCAGGATGCAGGGCAAGGCGGGTCAAGGGAGGCTTGAGTACATCAGCGCCGACACACGAGATCAGGTATGTATCTGAGTGCTCTAGAGCGTGCGGTCAGTCATGGATCCTAACGACTCACCGGTCTAGGAAGCAATGTGGAGGATCGGCGAGAAAATCGGCGACACCGAAGGCCGAATGGACGCATGTGTAGCTGCCGCCGGTATCCTCAAACCCCACACAGACTGCCTTGACTACCCTGCCAAGCAGTTCCAGGAGGCACGTCGTATCCATTCTACAGGATCCGCGAACTAATTCGTGAAACACGGATACCATACTGCAGGTGATAGACGTGAATGTGAGCGGCGTGCTCTTCACTGCACAAGCGGCGGGTAGGCAGATGGCGCGCTTCGGTAACGGAGGAAGCATCATCTTGATAGCTAGCATGAGCGGAAGTATCACGAACAGGGTCAGACGGTCCCTACATGCCTGTTTGCATTCATCGCGTGACTCACGCTGACTCGGACATGCACCACAGGACCATTACTGGACATCGTACAACACCTCAAAATCAGCTGTCCTCCAAATGGCACGAAGCATGGCCTGCGAGTTGGGGCCAAAGCGAATACGGGTGAACTCACTGAGTCCCGGGCACATCTACACAAGGTACGTCTCTTGTATGTTCATGAACAAGAATGAGGTTCCAGAGTCGCAACGTGTATCCCGAACACGAACGCTCCCCGTGTTGTCCCACACATCTTGCTTCCTTCTGTACTTCTTCGACCAAGGATGTCCTAATATCTGTTCATCTCCGCTTATGTGCCATGCACAAGATGCTAATGGCCTTCTCCCTCCCACGCGCCACAGCATGACCGCAGCATATTTTGACCAATTCCCCCACCTATTCGACGTGTTGTCTAACGCCAACCCGCTCGGGAGACTTGGCCGACCCGATGAGTTAAGAGGAGTCGTTGCCTGGCTGGCCAGCGACGCGAGCACATTCTGTACGGGCAGCGAGTAAGATTTCCTGTGTTGACCCAGTGCATTCTCAAGCTAACGAAACGGTCCAGCATACTGGTAAGTGGCGGTCACCACGCATGGTAGAAGGCCTCCGTCTGGAAGGCTCGTCAAAAGGGTCGATCAACGTGTAACGTGTAAGATGTATACATTCACACTGTGTGCCAAATGAATACTCAAACCCTTGTATATCGATATTGTTAAATCTCTTCGAAACATGCGTAGGTCATGCTTACATTCAAAAAAGGATCCAAGTCGGCGTCGTCAAACATCAACATTTAAATAATATACGCAGGAAGCTTTATCGATCTTCAAGCTCCAACATCGCTGACCTGAGAAAAAAATTCATAGGAAGCCTCATCATAGTCATGACAGTCATGATCCAGACGGTCCACATACAGCACAAATACAGATTTTAGTACAAACAAATAGGACAGTCAAAAATCTAAGTGATCAATAACGCAATATAAAAATCAACCTAGGCTGTACGGGAAATATGCATGCGGAGAATTGACTTACGAATGTGTGATAGTACAATCACATAGATACAGAGAGTAGCTGTTGATGACTGTGGTCCAACCCGGCCAGTAGCACCGCAAGCATTTCTTTGCTAGCCCTGATAAGATCGAGCTCCCCCTCCGCTGTGTCGTGCACACCACCCCACGCCTCGGCGGCTTGCTGAGCATGACACATCAGCTGCCACTTCTCCTGCTGAGCTTTAAGAGTGGCCTCCTGCGTCATTCGAACACGTTGATGCATCTGCTGCAGGGTTTCCTGGACGGCCTGCTCCCGCACAGCTTGCGCATGGTGAAGTTGCTCCTCAAGCGAAGTGATGTACGTCATGCGCTCATTGTCGACGTGCAAGTTTCCATGGATTTGGTCTTCGAGTTGAGAGATCTGCTTCGCTAGCTCTTCCGTATCGCGAAGGCGAGCCGCCTTCGCTGTCTGTAGCTGGCTCTCGAGCGACTCGATTTCCGCGAGCCGGTCGCGAGCTTTCGTCTCCGCAGATGCTAATTGTAAACGAAGCAGAGTCATGCTCGCGCCATCCTCGACCGATGCATCCGCTGTTAAACTGTCAAATCTTGCGGTTGTGTTGTGGACGGCTGGCGAAGGCGTGACATCGGGAAGTAGAACCTGAGAAATGGACCCGTAACCTGTAGGAGATGGCATAGCACTCAAGGACGGGCTTTCCGGCACGTCTTGAGTGCTTAGGCTGAGGCTCGGTGAGATAGCGCCAGAGCGGAACGGTGCTGGGATCTCGGAGAGCATGTGTTCGACATCATCATCTTGCAAGGTTCTACTGTGTTTAGCTAGCTGTTCCCATGACAGGATTGACCCTCTGTCGTTGCCAGCTTGATGACGGAGCGGACGCAAGAAGGGAGAGCTGTTAGTTGATGAGGGTGCTTCAGGCGACAAATAGGACAAATTGGCCCTGGAGGGTAGGAAAGGGCGAGAAGGGGTGTGGGGGTCCTGTTGACCTCGGTCGCCCGTTAAGCGGAATCTAGGCAGAGCGGGCGTAGGCGCGGTGGGCGAGGCAACAGATGCAAGCATGAACTCGACATCGTCAGCCTCGATGCTGTCGAAGCTGGTTCCTTCAACAAAAGAAGTGGGCGTGGGAGTCACTGATGAACGCTGGTGGTTGGTAGATGTGGATTGGGTACCTTTGCGCCCGGAAAATTGTTGCAGCAGAGGGATCTCAGGCCCGATAGCGCTACGCAAAGGACTAGGACTAGGTGTGCTCCTCTGGCTAGTTGTATCTGACGACTTCTTGATTGCACTGAACAAATTATTCTTCGGCGTACGAGGAGTATTCGATGATGCCGACGATGCCGAAGACGGTGGGCGGGAAAGATTTGACCGAGTGGCAGAAGCATGCGATGAAGTCTTTGCGGATTTAGAGGGACGAGCGGAACCGTGACGGGGAGAGGGTGAAGGAGGAGGAGATCGCTTGTGTGCTAGCATTCTACCTTTCTTCTCCGGCGTTTGAGGGCTCACATTGATAGCGTTTGAAAGATTGACTCTCAACGCCGCCGAGTGAGGAATAGGACTCACGGAGCGTCCCAGCTTTTTGGTCGAAGGGGGAGACTCCAGCGCACTAGAGGATCTGTCGTCACTTTCGGACTCCTTCTCTTCCATGGCAACATTGGCTCGGGATCTCAAGGTCATAGTCAAACGTGACGGCGACGGTGGCTTCTTGGTAGTCCCTGGCTCCCCCAATATAGATTTAGGCCTATATTTTGGAAGAGCGGATGTACCATTAGGTGCTCGGGGACGAAGGGAGGATGCCCGACTGAGCGTAGTCTTGGGGGTCTGAGAGCCTGAGGGTGACGAGGAAGTCTCGTCCGAGTCTGTCATGGCTGGCTTCTTGATAGCAGACAATCTGCGAGTTTGGCGAGTGAGGGTCTTGGATTTCGCATCTATGTCAACATCGTTCTTCATCAACGGCTTATCAGTGGATGAACGGGATGGGAGTTGAGAGATGTTGATAGCGCTAGATCTCCGCGAGTGGACTTCCTTCGTCTTCTTCATCGCTTTCTCTTTGTCTCCCCCACCGTCGCGCCCATCTTTATACATGACGTCCGCGAGAGCTTTGCCAACAGAAGTTAGATTCAACGATTGTCGAAGTGAACTTCGAGTGACGGGTTTGGTGGGGTGTGAGCCACTGCCAGCTGCGATATGAGCAGACATGAGAGAGCAATTAAGTAGGGATCCGAGAAACCAGAGGCGATGCTGTCCGTCAAAGTCGTGTCTATGCGTCGTGGAAGCGATCCGAAGTCGCAGCGCGAGTCGTTGCAGAGTCGTTGCTATGTTCGTGCTGGTGATGCAACATACATCGCAGAGTCGAACTAGCCACAAACATCGCGTAAATACGCCGCGTCACGCGATAGCCATGTGGGTCCACGCAGGTCCCGGGACGCCCGAATCAATTCTGGAGACAATTCTAGTCTCTACCACATGAAGCGACCCACATCCAGCCTAGCTTTGTACAGGAAAACGTAGACAGTAACCAGATTCACTGCACCGTACCAGAACCCTTCGACCAACACTGCCCACAAGGGAACATCCGTCACCTGCGCCCTCAGCAGAATGTAAGGAATGAGGAAGTATCGGGGTTCCAGCAAGGGCGTTGGGATAAGCGTGGGGAGCACGAAGACTGGGAGGAGAAGGTTCTGGAGCAGGGTCTGATCACGACCTGTAATAAGGTCCTATCAGTATCACTCCTCGGTTCCCGGAGGCAGATAGTCAAGTACCGATCCGCAAATACCAGGCCCATGCGCACGCCATGTATCCAGGAATGAGGACGTACGGCATGAGGGGGTGGAGGAGGAACACCCTGCGCCATACATAAAATGTGTAATGGCGATTGTCCGACAGTAAGAACGGATGATGAATGCTATACGAAGCCGGTCAGCATATGATAAGAGCGGTTGTGAGCGAGCGACAACAGACGTGAATTCATGAATTGTAACACTCATTGCAATGGCTACCAGAGCTGTCACAAATGTGCTCCTAACGTGCGTATTAGCTTTCTTCACGCCATGCGGAGACCACATTGTGTGTATGTGTACCTCTTATTGCCGAACATCCGTCCCCAAATATCTCTGGCCAATCCTCGCAGTCCACCTTTCCCAGTAATCAAGGCGGGCCATCCAAAGATCGTCGCGAATCCTGTGAAGTAGTATAATTGCGGAACATGTAAAGCGGGGATGTGGTTTGATTTATCGCCTGCAGCCGAACTCGATTCTCAGCATAGGACTTCCTCATCGGGAACGAGGGCTCACCTAGAACTATTCCACCGTTCCAAACGATAAAGGCGCCGAAACCCACCAACACCAATGCGTACGGGACGAAGGAAGGCAGGATCTCGGGAATCACTCCTGGCAAAGTCCGAGCCGAATGAAGAAGGTCCACTACGAACGGAATCAGCGCCCTCAATGACATGTGGTACACCCTCCGTACTCACTCGGACTAGCGGCAAGTGCTGGCGGGTCATGGAGCTTGGCTAGCGATTGCGATCCAGGGGGGGCACGCCGAAAGCGCAAGTGCATCAGCTGGCTGCACGCATAGGCGTACATCACCCAAACTATGTTGTTCTGACGAAATGTACAGCTAATACCACCTAGCTATCGTCCTTATTCCTCATCAGTTGATGCTCCGAAACACGCAGGGGCGGGAACGGGCATACCAAAGCAGCTAACCAATGCCGCTTCTGCGCGGATGCCACCACCGTTGCCACAACGAACACAAGGCTGGGCACCTCAGTATAATATAGGAATCCGAAGAACCACGCGATGGGGAAAGCCGATAAAATAACAGCTTCTGTCGTAGGCACGAGCAAGGACTGTGGTAGCCTCTCGCGCTGGTGAAAGCACAAGAGGCGTGCTAGTACAATTGGTAACACGAGGAGAAATAGAAGGGGTGTGAGCCGAAGCATTGGCAAGTTGCATTTGAACATGAATATTCGCTTCAGTATTACACTCAAGACGTAACTTGCAGCACAACTTTAGCGAGCAGGGCGCCACACAAGCGAGGAGCTTACAGTCCAGGAGGAGTGGTAATTTTTGGATCCCAGGTCCAGTAATCGCCCTCACAGTACGCCTGCGCCTGCGGGACGTGGAAGGGTTCATCCTGGAAGAGTATGCCCGTCAACACATACGCGACATCCTACCTTAACCGCCTACCATGTAAGGGTCTGTAACCTCCTCATTGATGAGTTTCAAAGTCAAGACCGAGATGGCGCAGAATGCTGCATAATATGTCGCTGCCGGGTCGGATGACATGGCAGCGGAACGAAGGGACTAGTTGCCATTTCGGGCAGTCATCGTCGAAGTTACTTTGTGGTTTAGCGCCCTGCGATGAGGACAGCGGCCAAATTTGCCATCGTCTCTGCGCGGAGACATGATCCCTACCCCGGACCTCACACATCTTAACAGAGGCGATTATCTGCACGTGTATGAACCAGCTGGTAAGTTCAGTGGTGGCTGGAACGCTTATACTTACGCGTTGATCGTACCAGAGGATACTTTCATTCTCCTTGATGCATTGGAACAAGATGCAGAAGAGCTACGGGCATTGGCTCCTTTGATATCTCTTGAGATTGGGTTAGTACGCTGAACTTAAGTTGCTTCATTGCCTGAAATTACAGTGTTCATGATATAAGATCTGGTTCTGGATGCGTTTCCAGCTTTATCGGCCAGATATTGGGATCTTCGGGAACATGTGAGTGTTAAATAGCAAGAAAATTAATTCGGCTGATGCTTTATTTCAAGTATGTATTACAACCGATATAAATCCACATGCATGCCGTTGTACCCAACGGACTGGTATCAAAAATAAAGTGAGTCAGCAGATATGTGGTCAGTGGAAATATCCTGATGGCCACGGGTGTCCCATAGTAGATACCAATCGACCCAATTTTAGCCTCACTATCTACTCCATTTTACCGACGGTTGCAACATGCTGTCGACATATTAACCTTCAATCCACCCTATGTGCCTACAGTTTTCGACGAGATGGAAGCTGCGCAGGTCACTGCCGGTATTACAGGATCCTGGGCAGGTGGAACGGACGGTATGGATATCACAAATGTCTTCCTAAAGCAGGTTGAGGTAACAGTTATGAAGCTTATGCACATATACAACCAGCTAATGTCTAACCTTTAGCATCTGCTTTCACCCACTGGTCGTTTATATCTCGTCGCTGTGAAAGAGAATGACGTCCCCGGGATCTGTGAGCGCATGCGGCAAGAATACGGCCTGCAAAGCACGGTGGGTCAGCGAATCCAAGCCCTGAATTTTCACATGCCGACGTTGCTTCAGGTGGTTTTACACCGCCGGGCAGGACGAGAACACTTGTTTGTTGTTCGGTTTTGTCGTTGACGATATGAACACACAATGTACGTCACTTCTCACTGTATTTCATCAATACTACTGAAACTCTGGCTATTTGTCCACAAACACCTTGCTATCATATACGCTACGGCCCACATCACTTATACTTTTTTCAAGCAGTTAAGTTAAGGCCCTCTAGCGCAGGAATGGGCCGCTCCGCTTGTGGGGTGATGCGAGCGCCGTGACGACGCTCTCCGACGGTGAAGTCCACGATGGCCGACTGATAAAAGGGTAAAAATACTATGAGGAGAGTTTGATGTTATTGATCATGCGGACTTACGTGCGCAGTGATTCTGTTGTCCCAAAGCACAACGGTATACGGCTGCCACTTCACGCGAGCTTGAATATCCACGCTCTTGTCGATATGGTCATACAAGAGGTTGAGGATAGCATCTGATCCATAAATCTTGTCAGGAAGGTACTAGCAGCTCATAAAACCATGCAGACCTGACTCCTCCTTCTTGAGACCGACGATTCTTCTGGTGAACTGTCTGTTGACGTAGACAGCCTCCTCGCCTGTGACGGGATGCTTCCTGATGACGGGATGAACGTTCTGGACAGGCTCACGGCGGACCACACCGCCTCTACGTCCCGATCGCGAATAGGCGGCTTGTTCAAAGCCCGAGTGGATAGCTTTGAGGGTGCGCAGGAAGGCGACAAATTGAGGAGATAGCCTCTTAAGCGCAGCAACCTGTGATGTGAAGGCGGTGTCGCCTCCTGTCTCTGGTGCAGAGAGGAGAAAGAAGGTGGTCAAGCCGGGGGGCTGCAATTCATAAGAGACATCCGAGTGCCAAGTTGTCGAAGTAATGCGGTCCTCGCGCTCGAAGTTGTACGTGGCATTCCCGTCACGATAGACAAGATGGACCTCCGGATAGTTCTCAGGATGACCTGATGTGGGATGGATGTGAAGACGGCCGAAGTGCCTGCCCCACTCAAGATAGAAATCGGGACCGCGGTCTATAAACTCTTGTTGGTCTCGGAAGATCATTAGGCCGCGCCTAGCAACCTATAGTGCAAAGTTGCCGTTTGGGGGACACAATGGGTTAAGGTGAGTCGTCTGAAGAGAGCCTAGACGCACTGTCCACTAACCTCCAATGCAAGCTGATCTCTCCCATCGCTGTCAAGTGTAGCCAAGTTGACTCCACGCACTTCCTCGCCCAAATGAGGGGTCAATTGGACAATGCTGGTGGAATTGTCCAGGAAGGACCGGGGGTTTGGATGATTAAGAGCACGCGAAGCGGGATCGACATGATCGAATGGGGTCAGAGGCGGGTAATGCTCGTCTTGCGGGAAGACTGGAAGGAGATGGGCGTATCGGTAGGGATCTCCCTTATCAGCCTCATTGTTCTGCGCAACTGGGGCCGGCTGAGGACGCAGGACCAGCGATGCAGGAAGCGACTGCGTGATAACTTGGGTAATTGTCTCGACTGTAGACATAGCGACTCCCAGGTGACGACGTGCACGATCTCAGGGGATTTCGGGTGTATATACCTGCTGTTTTCGCCATCCCGTCTTCTCTGAACGCAATCTGTAGCTATCATCCAGCAGCAATTGCTCGCACGCAACTCGCACGTATAGCGTGAGTCATTGACCCCTGGAGCTGGAGGCGACGGTCCTCCGTGGAGCAAACAACGCGTCAACAAACGAGATAAGATATAGCACCGCGTCGACGCGCTCACGTGCCGCCACGGGCGCTTCTACTTATTGTGTTGCGCTCCCCGAATTGTCGGGGTCAGCTTCACACCAGTCGACATCCGAATCGGCCACTACCTCTTCTGCAGGACAATAGACACAATAGCCAGCGCTACGGCCCTGGGCTTGATTTTCTCCGCGTGCGGCAATCTGATGCATGCAATATCCGGTGACTCCGAATTCGTTCAAGTTGAGTTGTGGCTTTCTCACCTTGCTTTGTCTCTCCAGGCGAGGCAGATTATGCGACTCGTTCTGGAGTAGAGATGGAGACTAGGCGAACTCATCTCGTATCTCACATCCAGGTCCTGGGTCTTGTCATGACATCTTAGATCTCGATGAGCGCGCCGCTATTGTTCTCTATCGTCTTTAGATATTTCGGGAGGCGGGCAAAGCGCGACCACGAGCAGACACAATTAGGTGTCCATGCGTGTCCGTGGCCGTCATTTAACCGACCAGAGTGAAAAGGCCCGTGTTTCCCTATTCAGTTCGCTATCCCCCCTCCCCCCCAGCGACACCTTCTAGCCAAGTGTCGAGGCTGTAATCTTGTCAGCATGGAGGCGACGACCACCTCTTTCTCCCTTCCTCAGTTGCTACGCCGCAATCCTCTTCCTGACGTTCCCGAGGATGTCGACAATGACTACGTCATGCAGCACCTCAACGATCCCAACTGGGATCTTAGCCAAACTTCCCCTACTGCTAGTGTCGACTCGTTCGAACTCGACGACAAGAGGAGCAAGGCATTTTCGAGCGGGTCCTCGATTCGCAGCACTGAGATTGATTCCGAGTCGCAAGTCGACTCGAGTTACAAGAGCACTTCGAGGGCGCATCTGAGAGAAGTAGAAATGGAGGATTTCAATGAGTGCGCTTCGATCTTATAGCTTTATTTTCACGCTTGTTCACGATCCATATAGCGAGTCCCCCTATGCAGAAGTCAGAGCCGCAGTCCCCAACGTGGACGACCCGACGATGCCCGTCAATACATTCCGCATGTGAGTCCGAGTGGCTCTGGAGAATGCCAGCCAAACTCATGCTTCCGAATCCAGGTGGTTTTTGGGAATCATATTGTCATGCGTCATGGCTGGTGTAAACCATTTCTTCGAGGAGAGATGTACGTTTGGTGCCTTCGGACGTGAACTTTGAGCTAATTTTACAATAGATCCATCGGTCGTCATCAGTCCTCTCGTAGTCCAGTTGATAGCCCTTCCATTAGGGAAGGGTATGGAGTGGCTTCTCCCGACGACTCGCTTTAAGACGTTCGGATGCACTTGGTCGTTCAATCCTGGCCCCTTCAATATCAAGGAGCACACCGTTATTACTGCGATGGCTAGTGCGGTTTACTTGGACGTATACGTGACAACTGTCTTCGCAACGCAGAAGGTGTTTTACAACCAGACACTCACCTTTGGCTACCAGATTCTCCTTTCGCTATCTACACAGCTGCTCGGCTATGCCTTTGCCGGCCTAACACGCCAGTTCCTTGTCTGGCCGTCTAGTATGATCTGGCCAGGTGCCCTAGTTTCTTGCGCCCTCCTCAGTACACTGCACAAGAATTTCAGTGTCAAGGAGAAGCGACATATCTCGCGTGAGCGGTTCTTCCTCTATGTCCTGGTTGGCTCTTGCGCTTGGTATTTCCTACCTGGTTATCTGTTCACGGCGCTGAGCGTCTTCAACTGGGTTTGTTGGATCGCACCGACGAACCCAACGGTCAATGCTCTCTTTGGTTATTCCACGGGCGTTGGGATGGGTTTCTTGACCTTCGACTGGTCAATGATCTCGTGGATTGGTAGCCCTCTCGTTACACCGGTGAGTCTTAATTGCGAACTGGCTATTACTGGCGCTGACCATGTTTCCTAAAAACAATTAGTGGTGGGCTGAAGCGAATATCGGCGTGGCCTTCGTCTTCTTTTTTTGGATTGTCACGCCTATTGTTTTCTGTACGCTTTCTTCATCTGTCTGGCGTCCGTGTCTAACGTCTTCTCTTGCAGTCAAAAACTCTTTCTATTCGCAATATATGCCGATTGCATCTGACGGGTCGTACGACAACACGGGAAACATGTACAATGTGTCGAACATCATCACGAACGGCATTTTCGACGAGGCCAAGTATATCCAATATTCGCCGATGTTCATTTCTGCCACCTTTGCGATTTCGTATGGCGTGCAATTCGCCGCTATCACAGCAGTCATTGTACACACTTTCCGTGAGTTGTAATTAAATCGCTATGTTCGGGTCTAATCTTACTGACCTGACCCGTTCTAGTTTGGTACAGTAAAGACATTTCTCGTCAAATGCGTCGCGCCATACATGACGAACGCGACGTCCATGCTCGCCTTATGGCGGTGTACCCTGAAGTCCCTTGGTGGTGGTATGCGATCATCGGTGTTATCGCCTTCGTATGCGGGGTCGTTGGCATCGAGATCTATCCTACAGAGCTTCCTGTCTGGGCGATGGTCATGGCAATCGTCATCGCCTTGATTTTCATCATTCCCGTGGGCATGATTCGTGCCATCACTAACCAGATGATTGGTCTCAACGTCATGTTCGAGTTCATCGTTGGGTATATGCTCCCAGGGAAGCCGGTGGCGATGATGCTCTTCAAGACTTTCGGTTTCATCACTGTCTCGCAAAGTCTCTCGTTGGCGAGCGATCTGAAGATTGGCCACTACATGAAGGTTCCTCCTCGCATCATGTTCGCTGCACAGACTCTCGCTACTATTCTTTCGGCCTTCATCTGCGTGTCCGTACAAATTTGGCAATTCGACCATATTCCGGACTTCTGCCAGCAGGGCCAGAAGGACTCTTTCACTTGCCCGGACGTGGAGACGTTCGCAACTGCTTCCATCATTTGGGGAGGAATTGGCCCGCAGAGACTTTTCTCGCGAGGACAAGTGTGAGTACATTGTGTTGTCTCAGATTCTATTTTCTGACCTGACTGTCGATTGCAGCTACAACCCCATCCTATACTTCTTCCTCATCGGTGCCTTCCTACCTATCCCCTTCTATCTTCTCGCTCGTCGCTACCCTCTCTCGCTCTGGAGATACATCAATACACCCGTGATGTTCGCTGGTCTCGGTCAAATGCCCCCTGCGACTGGTATCAATTACTCTTCCTGGGTGATGGCTGGCGCCTTCTTCCAATGGTTTATGCGACGCATGCACTTCCGTTGGTGGATGCGCTACAACTACATCCTTTCCGCAGCGCTGGACTCCGGTCTGGCGTTCAGCCTCATCTTCATTTTCTTCTTCCTTCAATATATCAAGGGCGGGGTCAACGTCAACTGGTGGGGGAATACCGTCTGGGTAAACACTTACGACACTATCGGCATGCCGTTCCTCGTCGTAAACGGCACGTTTGGACCGAAAACCTGGGCATGAATAACCCGAATTCTGTAGCATTATTCTTCTACTATCTGGCCACGTTATCATTATCGGAACGATCCTCTCATGATTCATTAGCATTTGCATTGACGCCATTTCTACATGCTCACACGCAACCCCATTCTTTTGTATCATCCATACCATTGATTTGTCTTGTACATTTAACACACTGGTTCTTCTGGGGCGATTTTTCGATTTTCGTTCGTGTACTACTGCTTGTACAGCATTACGATCCTGTTCTCCCACTGCGTGTGGACATGAATTTAACGCTTTGGCACGTTACCAGAATACCTGAGTGTATGTTTGCTTGAGGCTTTATGGCCCGCAAGTTGAGTAAACTCTTGGCTCGATTGCAACATGCGTGTCATGTAGATGTGATTTTGAGCACAGCGTGCGGTCGACAATTGAATCACTCGCACGTTGTCAACGAACGAAGCACATTCTGAACAGCGCAAGTCCTGTATATATCGAACGGATCTACTTCGCGAATTCGACCGAGATCCACAGGGCCACAGTCAAGCTCGGGATACCACATTGTAAGAGGTAAGAACCATCGATACGGCTCCTGATTTTGAACAAGCACAAAAAGCATAGATACACACAATAATAGACAATCATGCAGGCAGGCCCCAAATCCTGACCTCCCGCCCGCTGGCGCCCCAAATCTCCTTGCCCTGCTCCCCATACACAAGGTCTGTGACCTCACCACCTTCCTCGAAGCGGACCAGCTCCTCCCAAGTTTTGTGCGCGAAGACGCGTGCGCCTTCGCTTCCCGCGACACCCAGCAACTGAGCACTCAGGTCGTACACCACTTTGTTGACCTTGAAGCCCTCGCCAAGCGGGATGGAATGCGCAATCTTAGGCTTTCGCAGGTCCCATATAGCGACCGAGGAGAGTGAGTCAGGTGCAAGCATGTGATACCCATTCTCGGAGAAGCTGAGCGTCTTGACGGTGAAAGGGCTGCTGTCGGGGGGCGACAGCAAGGCTGCGATTGCACCAGAGCGGATGTCATATATCTGGATTGTCGACGTTGGTGTACCGACCGCAAGAAGGGCACCGTCGGGATGCACGTCGAGCGACGTCAGTGGCTCGTCAGCTGCAGGAGAGCGATATACCAAGTCACCCTTGACGAGGTCATGCAGCGAGTATGTACGATCAGCGGAAGCGAGCGCAACAAGTGTGTTTGTTGGGTGCACAGCCAATCCAGTGACTTCACCCTTATGCGTACGAATGACTGCATTTGGTCTGTATTCGCCTGATGCGCTGTCGTGGGTCCACATCCTTACAGTCTTGTCGGCACTGGCAGACAAGAGAAGAGTAGGCTCGGACTCGCTGAGCGCTTCACGAAACGCAACATGAGTGACCTTCTTCTGGTGGCCAGGGAGTGAGGCGAGTACTTTGTCCGTGCTGCGGTCGTAAAGCTGCACAATTTTGTCGTTCCCTCCCGTGAGAAATTGAGCCGGTTCTGTACGCGAGACCGCAAGGGCGTTGATACCAGAAGGCGATGGCGAATGGAGGGACGGAATGGTATGTTTGGAGGTGAATGTCTTGACCTCCGCCGGAGTAACATACTCCGCAGGTGGCTTGCGCTTCTTCCGCTGTGCCGAGAGCGTCTGATGTGTCTCTTCAATCTTCTTCTGCACCTCTTCCGGCAGAGCGCCAGCATCTTGAGCTGTGTCTGCCATGTCGACATCTGCGCCATTGGCGGTAGGTGCAACCCCCATTGTGGCCGAGATACTTCCGAGTGCTCTGGGAACCGGAGTCCAGTTAGACATGTATACCAGAGTGAAAAAGACAAGCGACGCACTCTCGAGCTGCATCGCGTTCTCGGATAAGACGTGCCACTACACGCGTTGCGGCGTCCTGTGCATACAGGGCATAGCTCAACTCCTGCCGAACAGAGTTGTATTGTTGCTTCAGAGAGAAAGTCTCAAGCATGAGCGCGTCCCACTCATTTTGAAGAAGGTGGAGGAGGGCTGGGATGGAAGTGGCAGAGGGAGGACGGGGGGCGGCAGCCTTGGGGTCTATCAACAAAATAAGGTGTCAGATGCATCAACACTCCTTCTCACGTCACACGGCCACGCAAACATGGGAGAAAGAAAAGGACATACTGGCTTTGAGGGTAATGAGGTCGGACTCTTCCAGCTTGTCTCCCGTTATGGGGTCGGTGCCATTTTCGGTGATGTATTTCAGAATTAGCCTACGCTCATACACTTGGCCAGACTTCTGGGAGACTACTGGGTCTTGGGGAGGCTCGCCGGAGATTGCACAGAAAAACATGGTGCGGAGGTCGCGGTCGAGGACGGGAAGTGGCTCAATTTCCAAACACACGACGCGGCATGTTTGGAGTTGTTGACTCCGGCGTCTGCTGAGTGCTCTCAGTTGCGTACGACCATGTCGAGCAGACAACGCCTCGTTCTGTCCATCATCGACTTTCTCAACCAGTCCATCGACGATGGCACTGTTAAGCAGGATGACAAGGAGAGTCTGGAGGTGGCAAGTGCGTTCCCCGATGTCGCGATCTCCCCTCTCACCTTGCCGACTTAACATCATCCGTAGTTCAATGCATAGGTGAAGCCTTTGGAGTCGATCCTACTGACGACCGCCAGAATGAACGTCTCAGCGTGAAGCCTGCAACGCTTCAGTCCATTTTCGATGTCTTCATAAAGACGCGCGACAATTTCGCGTCACCTGTTGCTTCCGCGGCTCCCCCTACCCAGGCACCTGTGAAACCCAGCGTTGCAGACAGAGAGTATGCAGAAAAGTTCAAAGGAGAAGGCAACTCGCATATGACCGCAAAGCAGTACGACGCGGCGATTGAAGCGTACACGCGTGCCATCACCCTTGACCCGACCAATCCAGTGTACTATTCAAACCGTGCAGCAGCTTACTCGAGTAAGAACGCCCACAATGAGGCCGCTGTCGACGCAGAGAAAGCCATTGAAGTTGAGCCTTCCTTTGTCAAGGCATACCATCGGCTAGGGTGCGTCCCTTGTATTTGATTGCTCAAATCGCAGACGACTGAGAGGCTGGCTACCGTGTACACCTACAGCCACGCACATTATTGCCTCGGAGACTTCAGGTCTGCGGCCTCTGCATTCCGACGCGGGCTAGATATCGATCCGTCCAACACGAATCTGAACTCCGGTCTCAGAAATGCGGAAGCACGTATCCTCCCCGATGACGAACCAGAATCTGTCATGACTGACGCTGCGTCGAGCGGCGCAGGCGCAGGCGCGGGAGGGGGGCTCGGTGGCATGGCGGACATGCTCTCGGGCATGGGTCTCGGTGGTGGGTCCGGAGGGATGCCGGACTTGTCAAGTTTCATGAATAATCCGAGGATGATGGAGATGGCACAGCAGATGATGCAAAATGGGGGCTTGGAGAGAATGATGCAGAACCCAGCTGTCGCCAACATGGTGGGTTACTACTCATTTCCAACTCAGGCTGCAATTCTGACACGGGCTCATCGTAGATGGGCCGAGTGCAATCGGGAAATATGCCATCGATGGCTGAGTTGATGGCCGACCCATCTCTGAGGGAATTGTGAGTGCCATTTGTTCCTTCCACAGAGCGTTCTGACGATTTCTGCAGGGCGAGTCAATTTGGAGCTGGCGGTGCACAATAGATGTGAGGGCATATCTGGACCGGGATAGAATGAGAGTATTAAAAAATAATGTGCTGATAGTACTGTCTCGTTGAATATTATGTTGCATAACATTGGATTAGCGATGATGAGCGAGGTCGATGTGGAACCCCAGGGTGACGCGTGATGTCATTTCCCCAAAGGATTTGTGCCGGCCGTGCGACACTAGCCGCGGACGGGCGCCCTCCCTCCTGCTCCTGCTCCTGCTCCTGCTCCTGCTCTTCCCCTTCCTCCTGCTTGGCCCCCTGCAATATGGCAGATCTCCAGGGTATGTCTGCACTTTTCTTGTCGCCGCATGCTCACGTGGTCAACAGAACCTTCGATTATTCCCCTCCTCTCGCGCGCCCTCCACCACATCCGTTCAACTCCTCCCAGAATCATCGCTTCCCCCGCTACCCGTAAGTCCACTCCTCCACATCACCCGCATCCTATCATGTCGTTCTTATCACTGCCTTGTAGAACCACGGCGTGCTGCCGTCGCACTGATCATTCGCGTGTCTCCCCCCGCATCATACACCCCCGCCTCACCCACCCTTCCCCCACAGCTCCAGACATCTTCCGCTTCCTCCCCGTCGTCTCTCACAGACTTTTTCCAGCTAGACTGGGTCAATGCACCCGGCGCTAGACCCGAAATCCTTTTCCTCCGCAGGGACAAACCCGATGTCGGAGATGCCTCCCATATGAGTGGTAGCAGCCCTCGCGCGAAAGAGGCGCATGTTGCTTTCCCTGGCGGAAAAACCGATCAAGGCGATGAGGGTGGCATGTACACTGGTACGTGGCTCTCGTCTATTGCATTCCATTGTCGATTACTAACCATTCCTAGCCATGCGCCAAACATGGGAAGAAATTGGCCTTGACCTCGCCGAGTCAGCCTACACGCCCATTGGCCAACTTGACGATCGCGAGGTCACAACGTCGCTTGGAAAGCGTCTTCTCATGATCCTCTCGCCTTTTGTCTTCCTTCAGCTCGCTCCCCAGACGACACCTGTCGACCCGGCGCCAGGTACTACCCTTCACTGGGTCCCTCTCGCTGAACTACTCCCGCTTCCGAATGCAGACATACGAGAAAAGCGACCTCGGTGGTCCCATGTGACCGTTGACGCGTCTTCGCGCCTTGCTCCCCGTCACTCAACTATTCTACGCGTACTCATGCGTGCCCTTATTGGAAACATGCAGTTTCCCGCAATTATTGTCTCCCCCTCTTCCTCTGCTTCATCTTCATTACTATATTCCAGTGACTCAGAGTCGGAGCGAAATGTGATCGATGCAAAGCGTGCACATGTGGAGAGCGGATCAGCTTCCTCACTGAAGAGGCAGTCATCGCTTAGCAAATTGCGACGCCGAGCAAATAGACAAGACGAGCAGCTGAAGTTGTGGGGTTTGTCGCTAGGTATGACGCTTGACCTCCTTGCGCATATGGCTGTCCCTGCTTCTGCTGTCGTCCCCTCTGCGATGACAGCGGCGGAGAGGATGTCGAAAGGAAACACTGAAAAGCGAGCGGACACAGAGGCAGTGGTTAGTGCGAGTGCGTTGTTACCCCCTGATGCGGAGTTGCTCGAGGTTTTGCGCATGCCGGTCGTAGTGCCAAGCTTGACGAGCGTGTTCCCGCGATTCTCATATCCTGATGTGAACTTCTGGATATGGTGCGTATAAGTTTTTTTTGCTTGTGATGGACTTGTTCTGACGCCTTGATGAAATGTTGGATAGGGTGTTCGGAAAGCGATATCGTGCCGTTATGCGCGGGTGGGAGACTAGTGCGCGAGCGGGTGGTATTAATGATAGACGGTAGGCGGCATCTCATCTCTGCCTGTTTATAACATTTTGAATTGGATTTTGCAGGATCAATTGGACTGGCTCTGCACTGACGACGTTCTATGCGGCGGTGCGCAAGGCGTTGGTCGTCGTGCTGGTCCTACGCGCCATAGGAGTACTCGTAGGAGTATTCCTCGGTTCATGGATCTTGTTTTGGTAAGATGTATTTGCGGATGACTGGTTTCATTCCGGGTTGTGGCTATATTTTGTCACAAGCTCCTTTCATGTTGTCTTAGTACAGTAGACGAAGACGGAACGCAGAAGCAGCAGGCACATCCTTCTTTTCTCGATTACGTTTTGTATCTCAGGGCTTTTGGAACGCATTGTTATTACTGCCGTATAGAATTTCCTCTCAACACGGTTTCTCATGGTAAAAAGAAAAGCGAACCGCAATTTCTAAGGACTAGAGAATATGTGTAAGTGACTCAGAGATCAACACGAGCGTGAACAGGGCTTTCGCGGAAGGACGAATAACTTACGCAGGCCCCGTTCCCGCCGTACTTAATATTATCCTCATCAATCTCATAATTCATAATACTCTTCTCGTTTCCGGAGTCACAACGGCCTTGTAGTGTAGCGGTCTTATCACTTGAGATTCTGATTCGGTCGTGTGACTGTTAGACTTCTCAAAACCCAGGTTCGAGTCCTGGCAAGGCCTGAGCATCCGGAGGGATTTATCTTTTAGACTCTGGCAATGTCATTTTTGTTGGATGGTGTTTACTTCCATGCCTGATGATCGATCGACTCGTCCTATGACTCTTCCTTCAACCTTCTCTTGCGGGCTTCGGTGACTGATCGGCGGCTCAAGCCTGACGACCTACAACTTGACGATGGAAATACGCGTCTCAACACCCCCCAAAATCCAATGTTGTCTGAACGTCTAGTACTCTCACCGGCAGCTCCTACTGCCACTATGTTTCAAGATTGTATCCTGCTGTTGTCCGTGATCAGATCTGAATAAAAAACCCGTTATCGGAGGTTGCAAGTCGGGGACTCCGTTGAAAAGGGAATAATGTTCATGTCCCCGCGCTGTTCGCCATGTGCGATGGAAATATATCAGTGTTGCGCGAAGCTCTCCACACGAGCACAAAATCCGGGGCTGATGAGTTCGTAGTCTGAGTTGCACATATGTGACCATATAGTATACCAATGTCATGATCCGAATATCCAGGCTGCGCGGGTATAGAGTTATTATACAGTGTCTGAGGTCTCACGCCTCACTACGGTGCTTTCGCGGTATGTAGTAGATACACCCACTGCCGATGCAAAGTAGAATGCTGTGCGGGGAGGGGTTCGTAGAATCATCGATAGCCAACCTTATAAAGACTTCGGACTTGTATGAATCAGCTCCGACATCATCAAGAACAGACTGCGACATACTCAGCGTAGGGAACGTAGTCGCCACCACCACATTCTTGCTAGACTCGGTCACGAAACACCCTTCGATCGACCAAGTACAGATAGCGTCTTTCTCCGAATATGTCTAACTGTGGCGGGAACATAATAATGCTCTCCTTCCTCGCTGAAGGATTCACGCTGCGGATGCTCCGACTCGTGTCCTCTCTCGTGTTCCCCTTCAAGCCGCGCCACCATTCGCTTCCACAGACCCATATGTGACGGGGACGTCTGCGCTGGCTCTGCGATGTGCGCAAACCCGGCTGTCCGTATGGATGACGAGCTGGATGAGCCAGAGGGAGAAGACGATAATGGCGGTGCTGCAGGAATGACAGGGTCCACGCTCGCATTTACTGGCGAGAGAGGGCTGCCTCCTTGGGAAGACTCGTAAGCATGCACCGCTGCCGGAGAAGTTTCCGCGGCGTGTGGAGGCTGTGCCCAGGAAATATTTCGAGCATGGCGGCTGACTGATAGCTCCTCCTCATTCTCTCCGTCTTCATCTTCCATGTGGTCGTCTGCGAGGGACACCGCGCCTCCCGTGCGCCTTTGGAATACGCTGGTAGTGGGGCTCGCCGCTGCGCTGCCGAAGTCCCAGCTATCCACCGTTCCCCAGGCTGTACCAGAACCCTGCTTCTTGCGCTTCGAGACACGCTCCATGCGCTCCACAAGCGGCGGAAGGCCCTGCAGCACTTTCCCCACCAAATACTCTTTCCGCTTCGCCCCACGGAACAGTGGCATGGAAAGGAGTTCCTGCGCCGTTGGCCGACGTGCAGGGTCCTTGTCGAGGCAACGTGCCACAACGTCCTGCAGCGCACGCGAGTATGTATGCGCACCCGAACGAGCGCGTTCGAGCGTCGGCGGCGCGTCGCGCACGGTCTGGAGTAGTGCAGTGTGCGTTGCGAGCAGGGAGCGCGGGGCGCGGCCTTGTGTGAGAGCGAGCGCGGTGATGCCGAAGGACCATATGTCAGCCGATGCGTCGTACGGCCGGCCGTTGATCACTTCGGGTGCCATATAGCATGGCGTGCCGACAAAAGACTTGCGGCGGGCGATAGGCCGGCCGGAGGAGAGTGTAGAAGACGACGGAGGGATGTCCTCCGTATCCCAGAGGAAAGCGGCGACGCCAAGGTCTCCGAGCAGGACGGTGCCGTCATCGTCAATGAGCAGATTGGCGGGCTTCACGTCGCGATGCATGAGGCCATTGACATGCAAGTAGCTGCGAAAGATATGTCAGGAATACTGAGACAGAAAAGGAGAGTAGACGCACTTGAGGCCTTCTAGAGCCTGCTTCAGGATGCATTTTACGACCTCTTCCTCCATCCCCTCTGGCCAGGCGAATCGCATCACATCGACCACACTGCCTGCGTTCATGAGGCGCAGGGCAATATACAGCTGGTGACCGTCCGTCCACGAGCCCCGGACGCGAAGCACGTTGGGATGCTTGGAGAGGGACATGAGCTGCGTCTCACGCTGGAGCAATTTCAGAGTGCGGGGTGGAAGACGATCCAAATCAAGGACCTTGAGCGCACACGGAAGGGGTTGGGGGGCATCGGGAGGGCGATACTTGGCGGCGTAAACGGTAGATGAGGCGCCAAAACCTATGGGTGCGCCAATGGCATAGTCGGACGAGTTGTTGCTGCAAGGGGTGTTCAATCTCGGGTGACCAGGGCAATGACATAGGGGAACGTGCACCTGTAGAGCTGCCACTCATCCCTGACTGCGCCAATAAAATTCTTGGATATGCGGTCGGCAGCTGTGTTCATGATGAGCAGACACGGAAAGGAGGGGAACAAGGAGGAGACCGTCGTTCCATCGTCCTAGGCGGGCGGTACCAGCCACAGCGCAATCTCGGATCTTCCACGCGGCAGGCTCCCGGCGACGCGAGCCTCTGCAGCGGCGCAGGGGTCCTCCTCTGTCTCGCCACTAAACAGCATCAGTGCAACTCCCGAATGCGTCTGACAAAGACTCACTTGTTCGTGCGTTTGATACAGCTTCGGCTGGCCCCAGTAGTGTGAGACATCATCACACAAGTACTAGCAGCAGCGTTACTTTGTGCCAGCATCATATACTTACTGCACGCCTCCCCCGTCGCCGGTAAACCACGTCGTCTGGCCAAACCACTGAGCATGAATCCTCAAGCAACGGAAAGCACTTCTCCAACGCAATCAGGATGGAGACAAAACAGTTCGAATTCATTTTCCTCCAGCACGCGCTCCATATATGCGCATGACGTAAAGACGGATGCCGAATTATCCGCCGGCCAAACCCGCCAGAAACACTTCATATTAGACTATTGCAGACACGAGATATTTCGAACAAACGAATATATGTATTAGCGCGCGGTCATATACAGATGGACGCCATGTACAGTACTGTCCAAACTATGCCGGCAGATGTCGTCAAAAAAATCAAGCAGACCATCGAAAGGAGGGGGCAGAGCGAAAAATTTATATAATAACTGAACGAGACGATGCAGGCAGAGACCAAGCATAGATGTGGGAGAATTCAAGAGACAATGCGAGCCTCATGATGGAGAGTCAGGAGCTCAACATAGCTTCTGAGCAATTCTGTTTTACGGCCGCCTGTAGCCACCGCTCGGCTCAACATCGCGAGAACTTCGCGCAGGATAATCTCTGCCAGAGCCTGAACCTCGAGGAGGGGGAGCAGAGCTACCATTTGCATAGCCGCTACCTGCGAAGCCGCCAGAAGAGCCGCCATTGTAAGGAGCACCAGAACCGCCCTGGTAGGCTGCAGAGTCATACCCATTAGACGCAGAACGAGCAGGAGGACTCTGGGATCGACGACTAAGATAGCAGGCACATAAGAAGCATGTGGTTGCAACGACATACGACGCGCTCACCGATATCTAGCAGCAGGAGCCTCAGAACTACCAGCACGAGGAGGATAATCAGCGTAGCGTGAGGGCGGAGGGGACGCTGGTCGGCCTCTGACTTCTGGTGGAGGTGCTACGTAGTCACTGAGGTGGTCTATCAGAAGAGTGCTGGCTGAGAGAGAATTATCTTACCGAGGTGGTCTGTCATAATCGTCACGAGAACGAGGCACTGGCCCGCCAGGAGGCGTCCTAGGTCGCGCAGCTGCTGGCGGCGGGTAAGGATAACGATCCGAAGGAGGTGGGGGTCTTCTCTCATAGCGTTCATAGTAGTCTCGAGGTGGAGGGGGACCATAGCTACGAGGGGGATAGCCAGGAGGAGCATCAGCCTCAGGAGGATAATAACCACTACGAGACTCGTAGCGAGCGGAAGGAACAGGCGGCGGGGGCGGGGGCGGAGGACCCCTCATCCTGAAATCATCATAATCACGACCGGAACGGACGGAAGGGGGAGGATAGTCGCGAAACTCTCTAGGCGGAGATGGCGGTCGCCTAAAGTCACGTCCAGGCAGAGGCGGGGGGAAATCATAACCATAGCGAACGTCACGAGGTGGGTAACGAGCGTAATCATCACGGTACGGAGGATAATCTCTTGCAGAGGGTGGATAGTCCCGAGGGGGCTGAATTCGGTCAATCAGCGGTGCGTCGATTGGATGGGGACGGCGATGATTCCTGCACAAAATACGTAAGCGTGTGTCATTCATAACAATTCTCCGACACGCTCACCCATTAGGCATATGGTTAGGACATTCCCTATCATAGGTATGTCAGTGTTGTACATAACAAGGACACGAAAATATACCTAGCCCAATGACCGACCTGACCACACTTGAAGCACGCTCCCGGGTCGCCGCTGTACTTAGCAGTTCTTCCACCACCGTGAGAGAGTTCGACACGAATTTTATTACCCATGAAATAGCCTTCATGGTACTTTGCTACACTCTCCTCCGCAGCTTCACGGCTCTCAAATTCCTGAAAGGGGTCCAGAGTGAGATAGCGTAAACAAAAGGTGCGATACCTCAACATACCACGAAGCCGTATCCGACCCTGTCCAAGGTCAGTTGATTAATATATGTATACTTCAGGAGAGGACGAGTGGTAGCACTCACTTGAGTTCTATGTTCACGATTGTTCCAATTTTACCAAAGCAACTTTCCAAATCTTCCTTTCGTGTATGTTCTGGCAACCCGCCGATGTAGACCTTATTCGGCTGCAAAGGATGAGAATGAATGTCCGATTTAGATAGAGCGCGTGACATGCGAGTGGGAGCCGTCAGTCTAAGCAAGCCTCTGAGAGCAGCGACAAAAGTACAGTACAATACAAGCAGAAGAAAGCAAAGACGAGCGTGCAGAAGCCAGCCCCATAGGACGTGTCGGCCACATCACAGCCGCAGCGCCAACAATCGCATCAGCTTATCGTGTCACGCTTGCTGAAGATCCTGCGGGCAGGCTAGCAGGCTCAGTAGCACTAATGCAAGAGGGTAGACGAGTGGAAAGCACAAGTGCAGAAGGCGGGGGCGCATTTCCAGACAGAACAGAAGCCAGCAAACGGGGCACTAGAGGATACATTAGAAAACAAGAGAGCAGATAAGCACCTTGATCTGTTTTTCACCGCGATAGCCCGCGTCAGACTTTGCGCTTGAGCCCGGATTTGCACCATCCCCCGCAACAGAGCCACCGCGAGCATAGTCTGCACCGTCAGTGGTCTGCGGGGCCACTCGGTCGTCGCCAGTGAGATGGCCGCCGTTGTCAACGTCGCCTTGTGCAGGCATGACTACGTCGCGAGGGTGGTCGTCCATGTCGTTCCACTTTTCTTGCGGTTGGAGGGCTGCACCGTTGGGAATAGGGGACGCGGCCATTACGAACGTTGCAAGCAGAAACAAGCGCCAGGGCTCCAGGGTTCCCAAAATTTGCGCGCCTCCAAGTTGAGACTCCGCCCGGATATTGCCTAACACTGTGGCGTCATATACGGATACGAAGATCGCATCTCGTGCTGGCCACTGGCAGAACTCGAGCAAGCGACGCAACTGCAACGGTTGGACGAAGACAAATAAGGACGAAGATTTAAACATTGGTAAGCATAGTAATAACTACAGATAACTGCACATATTAGGACCAAACATCATCTGATAGAATAGACACCGGCGCGACATCAGCCCCATAATGGCTCCAGGAATAAGAGGGCAAGCTGCGGGTATGCATGTACTATAGGGGAATCCCTCATACAGGAGACGAAAATGTCTAATGGTCTAGCTGCAAGGAGAATGTTAGATTGTGAGCGAATACACGATCGACGTTGCAGGAAAAGTGCCAAGCAAAACATTACGGGACGGCGGTAGAGCCGTCCACGGAGAGCCAACATACCATCAATCGTACCATAAAATAATCGCATGAAGGAAAGAAAACTCCCGACAGCGTCCGACAACGCGGGCGGCAGGAAAACGGCCGGATAGGTCACCATGTCCATAGGCCTTCATCAGTCATATCGACCTCCAGCCACCTGTGCTCTTTCAGATCGCGCGCATGTCGACGTTTGCGGAAATCAGGGACAAGCATTGGCTCAAGGAACTCGCACAGTGCGTCAGCGGCTGCTTCTTCCCAGAAATATTTCTCGGCCATGACCCGCCTCAGCGGCCAAGGCTTCAGATTGCGGATGTATCGCAGATTACCTATCATGGTGAAACAAGGACACGAGTAAGCAAGCACTACTCAAGCAATAGAGGTGGATACGCATGAGGACCGAGTACCCGAGTGGTGCACAGCACCGTACCCTTATCGTACCCCACACATCCAAAAGAGGACAGGACTCACCGGCGCTGTCAAAAAGGTCGCGGCTGAATCGCCCCCCAAACTTCACCTCCAAGTCGATATCACCCAACAATTCCATGATTTGCGCCATATGATCGTCGTCTCTCCCGAAAACACCACCCTGGCTCTGGGGATCGAATAAATATTCAGCGGTGAGCAGCTCAAAAATCACGCAAGCTGCGCTCCAGATATCCGCAGTGGCACCCCAATCCGTACGTCCGAGAATGACTTCAGGTGAGCGGTATTGACGAGTCTGGATATCCTCTGTGAAGTGCCTGTGTGAAGGAGTCGCGTTGCCCAGATCAGCGATCTTGATGAAGATGGGTGGTGATAGAGGTGACACGGGTGGAGGAGACGGTGCACGGTGAGTGGGTTCTGGCAGGCAATTCGTTCCTGGAGACCAGGAGGAAAGACTACCCCCAGAGTGTAACTGTGATGGAGAGGAGTTCGGTCTGCTGAGTTTTGGGGGCGCAGTCTGGGAGAGAAGTGACGGGCCAGCAGGGGGTTTTAAGGGCGGCTGCTGTTCTGTCACCACTGGCAACGTCTCTTGACATATGCACGTACACAAGCATGCCGTGCATGGTCTGGTCATGATTGACAACTTGTTCACTTCGCTCGTGACGCTTCCAAGGGACGTTAAGGTCGTCTCGTTGCTAAACGACGTGACGGTGTTCGGCGACATGGGTGCGCACTCGGAGCTTCCGCTCGAACTGGCCGACAACTCTGGGGTTGATCCGCTAGAGTCCTTCCAACTGGGTCCCTGTTTTCCCTTCAACTTCCTATCCAAAAGACTGCGCACACTCTGCATACTTGCAATGCGCGACATCTGCAGCCCTTGTCGTAGATTTGGGCTGGATCCGGCACTGCCCAGAGACGTCGGACTGGACAATGGTTGGGAGTCGAAGATCTGCACTTTGCGTTCGCGTGTGACGGGTGCGAGTCGCGGTATGGCTACACCCGATCGTGTCAGCTGTTTCGGTGGAACGCCCACCTGACGACACGTTGGAGAGGGGGACTTCGCTAGCTCGGCTTGTATGTGCTCTTCCACATCCGGAATAGAAATCACTAACGCCAGCCGTTTGATTAGCCTTCCTACCTCCCGCAAGCACACAGGTCACGTACTTATATTCTCCGGCTTGATATCTGTGTGGATCAGGTCACATTCGTCATGCAGGTACTCTAGTCCAAGCAGCATCTGTTTTGCTATTACTTTCACAAGCGCCGCAGGGACACCCGTCTTCTTGTGACGCTCAATCAGGGCCAGCAAATTCTCTCCAAGGGGCTCGAACACGATGCACACGTGTACGCCCTCTGGACCACAATGCGAGAATGAGTCGAGGAAGGAGACAATGTGCTCTCGTCCAGGGTGCTCCGGGGTCTCGTCTCTCACCTGGCTCAAGAGTTTGATCTCATCACGGGCCGTCTCCGCATACCGTCCCGCAGACTTGACCACTTTGAGGGCAGAATGATGATTCGTTCTGCAATCAGAGGTCAGTTAAGTGTCAGAATAGTAATACAATGGATAGCCAATCCCCCATTGCAGGAATCGCATAAAGTCACGTTCTGATTGCGATCAACAGCGGCCGAAACCATCCATTCCGGAATTTCCATTGGATTGACCAGCCCACTCCGATCAGCGGGTGAGTGATCCATCAAAGTTGGTATCAATTGCCGTAGTCCAAAAGAGTCACTGACTCTGTTGTGGTCCCAGAACTCATACATGCGGATTGGACAGACGCCAGCGCACTTGTCAGGTGTGTCTGTATGTCATCGGGAGATCTGCATGTACGATATCTGTACCTCGATGTACGTCAAGTGGCACACGACCACGCGCACTTCCGGACGCACATATCATACTAGGTGGGTTCCGTTCCAGTGTGCACCACTCCATAAACAAAGATAGGTTAACGAGATGCAGGCAGAGAAGATTAAAGCGCTGTGGGTGATAACAGGTATAGTCTACCCGGCGTGAAGAATGTCTGGATGGAGTGCTTGCGGCAAGCCGCGTAAGTGCAGCCAGGGGCGCTGAGAACACACCTGAACATGCGGGGATGGCAAACAAAGAGGGGGACTGGTTGATAGAAGACTTACTGGGTGTCCCTGACGAGCCAGACGGTCGAGAAGTGGCCCCAACTATGAAACATCGTTGATGAGTGCTCCAGAAGCATCGGTCAACACGGAGAATGGAAACAAGCGTACCCAAGCTTTCGGAGGATCACGTAGCGGTCGTCCTTGAATGTGTCCTGGACTTTGACCTGGAGATAGCCACCAGAGTTGTATTCGGCAGGGGATTCCTCATCTTTGGAGTGGACATCGGCGACGGGGAGGATCTTTGGGCCAGCGGAGGTGACGACGTATTCGTACTTTGCACAGGGTTGCTTGGGGGCCATAGACAGGGGACGTGGAACGGGGGCGGACGAACGAAGGACAGGGCCTCCCTTATCGCTGTCCGGCCTCGACGTCGGACGCTTGTCACGCGTCACGCGTCACGCAGAGCCGCTGCCCGCATCTATGTGACGTGCGTGACACCGATAAGCTTTACGCTGTGGCCGGTCCTTGGGCTCGCTTCGCCCGCCGCCTGCGCCGCCAGCCCGACACGCCACTCGCGGCCACAGCCTGGCAGCGACAGCGCAGCAGAACTGCGTCAATCTGTGTCTCCGCCGCGCTACGCGTTGACAAGACCGGCGTACGCTCTCGCAGGTCCAACGACTAACGATCAATCAGTCTCCGGCGGCCTCCCGCTCCCATCCTGCAAACGTCCATCGATGTCGGTATCCTCTCTTTTCAGCAGACCGTCTCCGCAAAGAACACCCGGACCCGAGCTCAACGACACATTTCCTGATCCACCCAGGCCCATCCAGTGAGAACTGAATGGCTTTCACCAAGCAAATCCAGACCCAGTGCGTAGATCCGGGTTCCCGTCAGACCCGGTCCACTCCTAGTCGTCGAACAGAGGTCGCGTGTGCGCGGGATGTGGGTGGCCGGCATTTAAATAGTCGCCACAAACCCTGGATACCTTGAGCACCATATATTAGACCGGCCGTCCAGACCAGAAGCTGCGAAATCGAACCCGCCGACGCGCGCGTGCCGCAGAAGATATAAAGCTGACGCTTGGTGATAAGTACCCACTCTGCATGCGAACGACTTTCAATCCCAAGATTACCCACAGCTCCGCATCACTAAGCCACGCAAGGGAAGCCATGCGGCTCATGAGAAGCGGAAGAAGTTGCGAGGGAGAGTTGTGTGAGAAGTTAGGCAGATAACAAACCTTAGCACTGATTTGCGCACTCGTAATCTATATATGTGTGATATCATGCACGTAGTCTTTAAGGCGATGATCGCGAAAGCAAGTCGTCATCGGCAAGTGTTCATCTACAGACTCCATTATATGCTGTAATCGCTAAGCTCTACATCGGTACGTCTATTAACCAATGACAAGCAAGCCGTTAGCCTCGTCGAAATCGTACTGGGGGACTTCGAGATTGGACTAGCCAAAAGTTGAGGTCAGTAGACATGAGCACTATATGGTACCACACTTACCGGAGCAGGACCCTTGCGTATACGACCAGCTGTGACAGACAGCTTTAGATCGGCAACAAAAAACAGGCTGCGGAAAACACTCACAGATATCATAGTGGGATCCGTGGCATGGGCAGAACCTGTAGAAACACAAACGTTGGCAAACTGATCCATTGATGAACTCCAGGCACGCACCATCCACCATAATCACCTGCCTCGCCAATGGGCACACAACCCAAGTGAGTGCAGACACCCAGCATGACTAACCACTCTGGCTTTTTCGTCCTGTCCTCATCTGATTGCGGGTCGCGAAGAGACTTCCAGTTGGTGCTCCTCGCATCCTGGACCTCATCTTGCGTGCGGTGCCGAATGAAGACGGGCTTGCCACGCCATTTGATGATGGCGTTCTTGCCTTCGGGAATGCTCGCGAGCTCAATTTCGACTTTCGCCATAGCCAGAACGTCCGCCGACGCAGCCATAGTCGCGAGGAACTCTGTCACAGTGGACTTTGCGACGGTCGCAGACAGCAAGCCAAGCGAGCCAATCATGAAGTACGCGACGCCGCGGTTGGTCGACTCGGACTTGGCCTCATAGTGCGAGAAATCGGGGACTTGAGGGGCATCCTTCGCGGGTACGGACGAGTGGATGAGGCGTTTCTGGAAAATGCCGGTGGAGGGAGCTACAGGTCGGAGGAGACGCGGTCAACACGTCGCAGACATACGCAGGGAAATACCAGCAGCTAAGACCGCTTCCATACCATTTACGACATTCCTCGAGACGAGGCCCACAGATGAGTTGGCAGATACACCTCCAACCCACTTTGGAGGGACGTCCGACCGAGGACCGACACCATGCCCATGTCCGTGTCCGTGTCCAGCAGGCTCACGAACAGAGAGATTAATGAGGGAGGCACTAGGTACACCGGACGCAAGCGTGCGGACGGTGGGAGGCAGGGTAACAGCTTTTTTGGCGAGCTGGATGGCGGCCATGGAGGGAAAGGGGACGAGCTCGACGTTGCTCGCGGTGACGATGAAGGAAACAGGTGCGGAGTTTGAAGCAGGCGCCGGTAGGTTATACCCGTTCTTTCCCGACGCGGGCGCTAGCGAGTGCTACTCAAGTACTACCTTCAACGGGAAGCATACTCGGGCCCGCGGACGAAGATTGGGCCACTGTATAAGTAGCCTGTTAGCCTGACAATCCGTGTACATTGGTTTGAAGCATTCGTCGCCAGGCTAAACTTATTGAAAAAATCTCAATATGCTTGTCGTCATTCATGTTATACATCGTGCCGTTCATTATCTAAACATAGCTATATAGAGCCTTTCCCAGTCACCAAGGCTTTCATTCAATTCAATGTCACAGATTGTCTCGCCAGATGCTCGTTCAAGCAAGCAAGGACTCGTTGTTTGGGGTATTTTGGCGCCGCGGGTATATTGTTATATTTGAGCAGACGACGGAGTGCGTCCGGATCTGTACAACGTCAGTACAGGCAAAAAATTACAGAGGGTTTTACGCGCACAGTCTGTGATGATTCCATCTACATTCAATGCAAGAACGTGTTCAACAAGATTAAAATGGTTAACCTAACACAACGTTTCTGAATAAGCGCCGTCTGCGTAGAGGAACGAGGCAATAAACGTACTGTCCAGACTTTGACTTCCATCCCGAACTTGTGAGCTTCATCGACCATGTCTCCTGTGGTGAAAGCCATGTAGTCTGGCATCAAGGGATCTTCTCCTGGGCTGAAGTCGCTTTTCGCTGAAGGTGATAAGATATTAGCGCCAATAGCATGTGCTGCCTGCGCGACTTGTTGGCCCTGGGTGGGGCCTGGAAATGAATCCAACCGTAAACCAGCTAGCCATGGAGATGTGCTGTTGTCTGGCATGTAGCCGTAGTCACTGTTTTCCCGACGACATTTGAGCACCCCCATGAATACTTCGGCAGGTTAACTTACTCGTCAATGAGAGCCGAGAGGCGCATTGATGGATTATAAGCCTGCAATATTGATTTCAAAATACCTACTATGCGAACACAAGAATCCCTCACCTTCATGGCAATTAGAGTCCTCCAATCAAAGCTTTCATACTAAAACACTCAATGACTACTCTTTTTTGGACCGATCCAAAATCCTCACTCACAGTTATTGATGAAAAGTAGGGACTAGCAGAAAAAACAGCGCTCTGTTTAGAGACAAAAGTATCCACATCCATCGTACGATTTGGATGACGGGCATCAATCTTGGATTCGATGTTCCACTGTATGTGATGTGCAGGGTCCGCGCAACCTACGAAGTCGAAGAGCTCTTGAAGAGTCGATATACGTATACCCGGATATGTCAACTGCAATGCTAATTATGATACTCGCTCAGCAGCTCGTAACAGTTGCAACGGAAAGGACGTACGGAAAGCCTCCTGCCGCTTTGAACCGCAATCTACAGTCTTTATCTGCGCCAAGGTGAGATTCGCGATGAATTTTCCAACGTATGGAAAATCGGGATCTCCTGGAAACTTCAAAATTAATCAGCCACATGATGCAAGTGATGGAGAGTAATGCAACACACCGCTGGCGCAGTATCAACACATTTCTCAGGTGTGATACTCGTATCATGCCATACGACGACGACACCGTCCTAAAAGCTGAGCTGAATCTCAGAAGAAACCTGATAAAACGATCTAGTTACTTTAGTGATCCCATTGTCCACCTCTATGGTTGAGACGCCTTCGATCAGACCCCTGGTCGTGACATGTCAACCCAAGGCGAACATTAAGAGATATTATGTACCAAGCAGTGCTAGCAAGGGTATTCTCAACAGCAATACCTCTTCCTCCTCTATGCCCCTACAGTCCAAGCTGGTGAGCACACCGAAGGCACGAAGCAATCGACGATCTCTCACCTGGATATCATAATGTCGAGGACGGCCAAGTGCAGTTGCCGCATTCAGTGGTTCCTGCGCTGGTGACGCAAGTATCGTCAAAGCATGATTGGCGATATTTGCCAGAACACCGAGGGGGGTGAACATAGCGGGAGGTACGCGGGGATGATGGAAAGTTCGGCACCTCCTTCTGGGACGAGTGCCTCAAGATATGCGTGAAGACCGGAGACATTACGACGACAAAGACGCAGAACAAAAGCACGTTCGACGGGAAACTTCAGGAGAACGTCACTTAGCGTGTGCTCCGGGACGAACGTTCCTGCTCGTCGCCTCCGACCGGTGTGAGGATCGGCCCAATCGGGCAACAGGGGCGCCAAATGCGGCAACTCGAAACGTTGGTCACCATTCGCAGACAGAGCTTGTGGCCCTGGGTAAGCGATCAGCGAGGCGAACGTGCAACGGGTCAAGTCGCTCGGGGACAGGAAGATGATAGGCAAAAATAACGCGACGGATACACTTTGAAATATTGGATCATTCCTGGCGGTGGCGCATCGTCTAGCTCGGGAAATCTCCGAGTCCGAAGTTCACAGGTCGATAAAAACGACTCAGCCTATCAACTAGGGGATGTCGGGTGCTCTAGGAATCCCTTCCCACAATGCGGGTTAGTAAAGGGGGGATTGCTAACAAGAGTATCATAAACAGGATGCACTGCACAAGTAATTAGTTACAGGCGTTGCATCACAATTCCCAACACTGCAAGCTAAGTTGTTACATACCATATATAACTAGGCACATATTGTCCAGGGCATAGCGAGTTGACCAGGCACGAAACCACAAACTTTGGGAAGAAGCGATGACCGCGCGACTCCGGGTGTTGTGCAGATTATCGAGTATGCAGATCCCATTCTGGATAAATTGAGCAGATTTCTCGGCTTTGAGGTAGAGGTCATTTTCCGATCTAGTTAGACGACACCCAAGATTCAGGGCAAAACACCGCACATGGCTAGGATGCACTCTTCGGCAGGCCGGGCGACTCGCCTTGTGGGGCAAGCTTCGTATCTGTCGCCCCAACGCCTGCGAGACCCAAGTTCCTCCATTCATCTCGTTCCATCAAACCCCTTCGTGTACCAGTCAAGGGCAGAACTAAGAGTAAACGGTTGAAGGACACACTTAGTCATCCGACATTCCAAGTAGTCGCGATTTAGATGGCGGCATGGCGTTGAATTGTTTGAATTCTTGCGCAGACAATCAAGATACACTTTCATATAATCTTTGCATTCTCCTGCAGCACAACTCAACATACGACATCGAAAGCAGAGGCTACGAGTCTTACCATAATGATCAAGAGGGAATGATCCTCTGTCCTGTCAGGAGATGAGTAACATGTCCTTATTTCTATTCATGAAGTAGATACCGGAGGGCTCGGCTGGGAGCCGATAGATATGGATGGTGGCCGACCAAAAGACATTGCGTCGCTGCTCCTGCTCAATGCGTGTGAACGCGTCCTACTCAGGCTGGTGTTACGCGACAGTCCGCAGTTCACGCCGGCTATTGGCGCCGACGACGAGTTGCCAAAAAAGGAGAATTCCGAATTCACAGATTCAGGTGGCCTTGGTTTGGTCGATGGTATTCCAAATTTCATGCATCACAGCCCTGAAAATATATAGACATCAGGATTGTCTCTCCTTTCCTTTCTCTTCTGCCGTGAATCCCCCTTCCGCTGAACTGCTATCGTTGCCTACTTCTCTGTCTCGATCTGTTATACTGGTTTGGCGTGGGGCAAAAGGCCCAATCTCTCCTGAGTCGGATACAACGCCAGTTGCTCGCTTACTCTTGAGCATGACGATCTCCTTCAACCACCCATTCTCTCTCCGAAGCTCCGCTGCTTCTGCCTCAAGCTCCTGCACTCGACTTGAAAGGTCGGATATCGTGCGTTCAAGGTTCAGTGTCCACTGTTTCTTTTTGATTCGGAACCGCGCTGCGAGATCGTGTGAGTTCGTGCTAATGAGAGATGAAGCTGTGACTTCTCACCTGACGCTGCAGTATTTCGTCTTCTTTTGTCTTCCGCAATGACAATGGGTTCGACATCTGTATTATCCATTTCAGAACGAAGTGCAGTCTCTGTTGGCGACGCTGAGGATGTCCTGCCGACATCGAGCTCGTTACTAGAATATTGAGGGACTTGGCCGCTTCCGAGGGATGACAACGGCTGTGGCATGTATAGCCCCTGATGCATTTGCTGCGGGAGCTGACCATACTGATTCTGCATTTGCAGGTACTGTAACCATGGAAGTGCAGCAAGCAGTGCTTGCGCTGGGTTCGGGATCTGCTGCGCCTGCATATTCAGCGGCATTTGAGGTGTCTGCGCAACTTGGGGCAGTGGTGCGGGAGGGGGAGGTGCCCCTTGTAACGCGAGCAGTGCTCTAGTAAATGCTGCCTCATCATATCCTTGGGGAAGAGTTGTCATCTGATTATTGCTAGCGGGAAACTGGTTGACAAAGCCGGAATCAAGGTGACTTTCAGCCTGTTTGGTCTGTTATTACCCCGTTATTCTCAAAGTAACTTATGCACTTGCCCTATGGCTGGGGCCTGGGACTGGATATGAAGACACGGGCTGGCTTATTGACCGTGCTCGACGTAGTCCCGGAGACTTCGTAGAGGGTGCACCGCTGCTAGAGGGAAAGTTGTTGTCCATGGGTGTTCCGGACTCGGTAGTAACCAACAATATGGATGTTTGATTTCATATTTACATTTGCAAGATGTGACCCTCGATAGCGACAAACCTCGTCATTCGGATTTGAACTTCTTATTTGATATATAAGAACCTGCATACAGTTAGCTGCGCCTTGGCTAAGCCCAGCAACCAACTCTCTTTGAAACGAATTGAACGGAACGGGCTCGCAATCTAGCCAGTTGATTGCGACACTGCGACACACAAGCGCCCATTCACGTGACCGTAGTACACGTGATGGAGGTGACGTATGCAAGGACGCGCGTTGCGCGTCTCGACTCTCATCGACGACATTGAGACTTGATTGAAACCTGGCAATCGCAGGACGGTCCTGCTGCTTGCTACGATCCATCATGGTGAGCGATCTTATTTTTGCCACAGAAAATTCCCTGAAACGCGGAAATACGACCGTAGTTGGTCAGAATACGATCTAAAGATGGCAACTTTCGCTTCGACCTCGCGCCAACATCTGACATATCGGAGCTTACTGCTAAGGTATGCAGCTGATCTTCTTGCAATTACTGAAAGCCTGCGAACCACTGCAGAGCATAGATTCTCACAACTACGGATGATGCGGATCCTGCGACACTAGCCATATCACAGCGTCCGCGCGGCGGAGAAACTCTTGCCTCAACATTGCTCGGACAAAATCTGCAATCCCTGGGTCTTCAGTCCGTCTCTGTGTTCATATAAATGTCAATTTTCGCTAATTTGCTCCACAAGACACGGCGATCTGCTTTTCGTTTCGTATAAATCGCGTAGCAGTGATGCCTCTATTGCAACTACATCACCGGACACGACCAATGCTACAAGCACCTTGTCGAAGCGACCATGGGAAACTGTTCAAGAAGACGCAGTAGACATTTACTGGCGCTCTAGGGATGGGAAGATACCTCGCAGTCGCGATTCTCGATTCTGCAAACACGGTGCAAATGCAATGTGCGACTACTGCATGCCTCTTGAACCTTACGACACAGCATATCATGCAGAGAACAGTATCAAGCATCTGTCTTACCATGCTTACTTGCAAAAGGTAACACCTAAATCATCTGCTTCTGCATCTTCGACGGCTTCTCTACCTCCGCTTTCGCAACTCTCGTACAAAGTCAAAGTTCCGTGTCCCAGCGGTGCCCACTCCACATGGCCTGCTGGAATCTGTACAGCATGTCAGCCGTCAGCGATCACGTTACAAAGCCAGCCTTTCCGAATGGTCGATCACGTTGAGATCGCTTCGTTCGACGTTATCGACCGATTCCTTCAAGGGTGGCGAAAGACAGGTCTTCAGCGATTTGGCTGGCTTATCGGGCGTTATGAACCTTATGACAAAGTGCCAATGGGCGTGAAAGCAGTAGTAGAAGCCATTCACGAACCACCCCAGGAGGGTGAGGTAGATGGACTATCGCTAGTCTTACCCTGGGAGGATGAGCCGCGTATCAAAGCTTTGACAAAAGACTTTTCGCCGCCTCTCCAGATCGTGGGCTATGTCTTCACTGATTTGGAGGCAATTCCGGAAGACAGGACAAAAAGCAGATATAAACGACATACACAATCATTCTTCTTATCATCGCTGGAGGTCATTTTTGCGGCGCACGTACAAAATGCCCATCCGATCCTATCGAAATCCTCACCCACCGGTCTTTTTGCATCCCGCATGGTAACGGCTGTTCTAACGGGGACCGTCGATGGAGGCATCGATATGTCTGCGTATCAGGTATCAGAACAGGCATGTGCGATGGTGGCAGCGGATATGATTGAAGCGAGTCTCGAACCCGGGATTATGCGCGTGAAAGAGGAAGATCGTAGCGAAGATACAGCTCGATATGTTCCTGACGTGTTCTTCCGTTACAAGAACGAGTATGGCCTGGATGTGCAGAAGAGCGCAAAGCCCTGTTTTCCGGTCGAATACCTTCTGGTCAACGTATGTTCTCGACAGATTTCCTGATTTTGTGTGGCCTAACGTGCTTGAATCTTCCCAACTCCAGGTCACGCATGGGTTTCCCCAAAATCCGTCACCACTGTTCCGTTCAACCGCGTTCCCCGTCGAGAACCGGTTTGACGAATCTCAGGATGTTCAGAGCATGCTACGCATGCTCTCCGATCTCCGCGCTCCGGATGTCCAGGAGAGTACATATGGCGGGGATCCCACATCCCGGATTGCACTAGCCAGGTGGCTGAGCGACTGGCATCTGATTTCATTTTTGGGCACCACCCAGCTAATGTCTCCGGTGCGTGTTTATCTTGTTTGACTGTAGTGCTACTGAAACTCTCTTACTTGGCTGTTAACTTGCAGGAAGATGTGCAAGTACTCGTTCGAACGGCAACGTCGCCCAAACTGGATGATTCCACCGTTTTGGACGCATTAATTCGTACCGATGGCTGGCAAACGTTGATGACATTTGCAAGGGAGACTGCCCGTGAGTAATCAATATTTAAATGCGCGCATGCACTGCTGAGCTATTTCGTGTTAAGCTGCTCGCCCGACTTCTGCCGCGCCTTCAGGGCCTACGCACGCAGCAATGGACGAGGATATACCACAGGATATTTACGATCAGATGGCCCGTGAACAAGCCCAGTCTGGTGGAGGCAACAGTCGAGTCTGTCCTCATTGTACGTTTGAGAATGCACATGGCGGATCTGACTGTGAGGTATGCGGACTGCCCCTTTGACAGCGGATAGGTGATGTAGAGGTAGAGGTAGCGGATAATTAGTGTACGTATAAAACGATAAAATAGACTGAGGCGTGCCGTTTGTAACGTGTATTGATAACTATCGTCGTTTCATCTCCCGGGTCCAATGTTTTATTCAGTACTTTCAAACTTCAAACTTCAGGCGTTCAACGTTCAGGTGGTACCGTCGCTGTACATGTCAACGCTCACCGCGGCGCTGCCGATTTCCAGATATTGTAAAGGATTATACTAAGTGTATTTTTAAGCTTTTAAAGACTATGACCCATCTCAATATAGCACTCTCCGTGGATTTGAACGAGTACTTTGCAGAGTACACACTAAAGTCGCTGAACCCTGCCGCGCGCACGATGAATCAGATACAGTCTCGGAAGATCGTTCGAAGGCGCTCGAGTCCTCGGACATGGCCAAACCTTGGACGACCTTCTGTACCAGCCGTCTCAGTGGAGCGTTCCCTTCCACTGTTCAAAGTCCTAATTCAAAAAATTCGTCCGTTTTGGGATATACTAATGGGTGCTTCGTACTTGGAAGAAATATTGCAAGTGAGATTCGAACGAGAGCGCTCCTCGACGGCTGGGAATCTTAGGAGCCTGTAATCTTCCCTTGGATCCGGTCTCGTACCCAGACGTATCTTCTTGGGGTACGAGATCACTGCGATCAGATACTAGAGGAGACATTGGCTATTGTGGACAGAATAATGCACGTACTTTGTGAGAAAGCAGCTTTGAACTCGAACAATGAAGCAGCAAGACCTTCACGAGGCTCACGTGAGATGCGCGAGGCATTTGACGCGTCGGGAACCGGCAGCTCGTTGGACGCGATGCTAGACACCTCTCATGCCAAAAGCCAAGAACAAATTTTATGCTGTTCGGAAGGGGAGACAAGGTCCCCAAATATATGTGAGCTGGGAAGAGGTGAGACAGCTTGGATCCGTTCTGCTCTTGCATCTACAATGATTCACAACCCCGAAATTACCACTACAACCGCCTCCAGACAAAGACGAACGTGAGTCTGCGTCCCTAGATTGTCTAATATATATTGATTGTCGCCACAGGTGGCCAGGTATCCAGGCGCTGTGCATAAGTCTTTCACCAGTTTGTCTCAGGCGCAGGAGTGGCTGGCTGAAGCGCTACCAACAAACACCTGTACGTTCCACTATCGTCTCTGAGTGTTCACTTATACACGTCCTTTCAGTAGCTGGAGAACTCTCTAGAGCCACGATGGAAGCTATGGACGTCGATTCAGTCCCAACTCAGACACGGAGGGTGGTGAAATCCACCATTACATCCTCAGGACGCGTGCCCACCCCAGCTCCGGCGTTAGGAAATCCACCAAATACTGAGAACACGGTTCAATTATCGCCAGAACAAAAAGCAGTGCTGGAGCTGGTGAAGGAAGGGAAGAACGTGTTCTTCACAGGGTCGGCTGGTAAGCAATTGTGTATCGATGTGACAGGATTACTAAGCTTCCTTCTGCAGGCACCGGAAAGTCAGTGCTTCTGAGAGAGATCATACGACACTGTCGTGGTGATGGTCGACTTCGAGAAGGCTTGGCCGTGACCGCAGCAACCGGGATTGCGTCTGTTAACATCGGTGGATCGACGTTGCACTCTTGGGCTGGCATTGGGCTAGGTAAAGAGCCAGCGGAGAAGCTCCTCGGAAAGCTCCTTGGACAAGATAAATATCAACGTGAAAAGGAACGACTACGCAAAAAGAAACTGCGAGAGCAAGGTCATGAAGTGGATGACCACAACGATGACTACGATGACGACGACAAGCATGTTCCACGTGTGGTGGAACGATGGCGAATCGTTAAAACCTTGATCATTGATGAAAGTATGATGGTCTCTTCACTCGCTGTCTGTATCTGAATAACATCTTGACAGTCTCCATGATTGACGGTGTTTTGTTTGATAAGCTTGTTCGTATGCCTTATATGATATTGTGTATACTGCTCAATTATGCGTTTCCCACAGGAATTTATTGCTCGCCATTTACGACGATCGGATGAACCATTTGGCGGAATTCAGGTTCGCCAATCTTACTATATGCTTCTTTATTCTCGGGGGGGGGGACTAAGAACGTTCTAGTTGGTGTTATCCGGAGACTTCTGCCAGCTTCCCCCAGTTCCTGATAGGAACAACAATGTGCCACAACCTCCCACATTTGCGTTTGATGCTGAATGTTGGACAGAATGTGTTGGTCGACCAATCGTGCTACACCGTGTGTTCAGACAGAAAGACCAGGGTCAGTTTCCGAGATGCTTTTTTAAAACAGAAAAAAAACTAATTTTAGCATGTCTAGGATTTGTGGATATGCTCAATGCGATGCGCTTCGGCCGCCTCGTTCCAGAGACAGTGTCCAAATTCAGGAAACTGTCACGTCCCGTGATGTATGAGGATGGCATTGAGCCAACTGATCTGTAGGTCATTTTGTAGAGTCCAAGTCTATGCAATGTGCCACGGATGATATATCGCAGTGTGGTGCTGACTATCATGCCTTTTATTATTAGATTTCCAACAAGGAGAGAAGTGGATAACGCCAACCATCATCGTCTCAGCAAGCTCAGTGGTGATCCCCACCAGTACAAAGCCGCTGACATTCCGGGGAGGGATGAAAACGATAAACCCATTCCACTTCATGAAATGGATAAGTTGCTGGAACGTCTCATTGCGCCAAAGCTTCTCGCACTGAAGGTCTGGACGCATATCGCGTCTACCTATACGTACACATTAAGGTTCTTTTCTTTGCCCAGGTTGGTGCGCAAGTTATGTTGATCAAGGTGTGTTGTATACAGAGGATCTAAAATGAACTTTTACTCACCTTGTGTAGAACCTTGTCCAAGGACAGCTTGTTAATGGATCCGTTGGCCGTGTTGTTGCGTTTCATACCCCACGCGATGCTATAAAGCAGGGTGCGGAAATCGCGCGGACTGAAGTCGTAGATCCAAAACTAGGTCAGAAAAGGGCGGACAAAATTCCAGAGGACATATTACGCAGCAATAATGTCTGGCCTATCGTGCAGTTCCAGAATGGGAGTGAATTACTGTGTATTCCCAGTCCCTTTGAAGTCAATAATGCGGATGGACGGGTTGAGGCACGTAGAGACCAGGTGATTTTCTTTTCAGGTTATGCACATGAAAAGTCCGCACATGTTTGATCACAACTCTCTAGGTACCTCTTATTCTTGCCTGGGCTCTGAGCATACACAAATCGCAAGGCCAAACGCTGGAACGAGTCCGAGTTAATCTCGCTAAAGTCTTTGAGAAGGGCCAAGGTGGGTTCAAATTAGCTCATATGTCCGTTCCACTCAAGACAAGATTTTGGGTTAGCATACGTCGCTCTATCTCGAGCAACGACCATGCAGAGCCTGCAGGTGTTAGGTTTCGACGCGGCCAAGTATGTGCAATGCTCTCCACGGGGCCATATCTCATTTGTTTCACAGGGTTGTGGCACATCCGCGCGTATTGGAGTGGATGAGCGAAAACACTGGCCAAGATTACAGAGCCCCCGAGGAAATAGATGATGATGAAGAATATTGGGATTATTTCTGACCTGCAGGCAGGTCACCGCCGTCGCACTGTGTATCTATTCATGTGTATTATAATTACGTCGTAATGTTTTCTCATTGCATTCATTACTCCCGATCTCTGAATGATCAATCACTCACGGAACCTGTAGCTCCCAAGACAGATAGACAAAGCCCGGTCATCACGATTTTAATCCTCTCGACAATAACTTCACGCTGTTGGCAGTTAATCTACATATGTTAACAGCGGGACGTCTCCCCTACCATCCGAAGTCCAGATCAACAGCGTTTCTCGGCTATTAGGGGTTTCATTCGCCCGTATAGTCGTCCCAGACTCCGGAAGCAGTGAAGCTAATTGAGGTGCTGTTCGGAGCCTGGTCTTCTTGGATCGTATCGTTTGATTAGACCTCTCTCGCCGCCCCAGCGCCATGTGCATTGTGACCTTGTTCAACTTCTCGAGCGCGCCCTCTGCGGCGTAGTCAGGGGGGATAGCACTTCAGGCACAGTTCCCGGGCTTGGACTTTCCGCCACCGTCCGTCCGCGCGACATACTACCGTTACCGTGCGCTTGGATCCTTCTGCATACGTGAGTATCCTCCTCAGCAGTCGACAAACCACGGATGACGCAATACTTCGAGAGCAGTTGGCCGCGCACTCGCGTTAATCTCCAGCATCGTCCTTAACAGGACGCCGAACTCAGCGACATCGTCCGCCGCCGTCAAGCTCCCCGCATAGTGGTCTAGCCGTCTTTTCCATTCCGCATCAGCTGTCGTCCTAGATATCGCTGGAACTGCGTAAGCCCAGTTCGGGACATACTATTGAGAAGACGTCAGAGCCATACTGCCACTCAGACGTTTGAGCTCCTCGCTAGCTTCCCAGTGCGCGCTCCATTCTCGAGGAATTTCGCCGCACAGTTTTGCCGTGTTAGCTAGGAGTGCGTTGTTAGGAGAAGCGAAGTGGAAGACGTGCGCCCCGAAAACGATTTCGTACGACACGTCCATTATCAGCCAGCGCAGCATTGTAACCAAAAAAGACCAGTTACCGTGCATGCGAGAGACCAGATGTCGCCTGCAAATGTTGAAGGAAAATCGGCCTTTCTTGTCACTCGCTCGAACAAAATTTCGGGCGCACATACGGCTGCGGGTGTGCACGACGGGCGTGGAGGTTCGTCAGACATTGCAGCTGACATTCGATTTGAGGCGTTAGGAGGGAGGCGAAATGGAGCATAAGAGGAAACATTCGGCTGACCATTGCCAAGATCCATGATCTCTACGTGCAGAGGAGATTCGTTGAACGACGGATCGGTATCTTTGAGATAATATGCGAGAGGAATAGGTGGGTCGAGATGTGGCGGAGGTGCCTCGGGTCGAGAAAGCGGCTGGCGAGTAAAGACGAGGGAAACTTCAGGCCGACCGAAGTAGTTAAGAATGTCATCTTCAGAATACTTTTCCAGTAAAGCCTGTAGACTGATCCCGATATTTCCTGCGTGCAAATCTGTTGACAAAAAATCAGCGGCGATTAGAGTGCAGTTCGAAATTCGAATTGTGGGTAATAACAAACTCGCCTCTGTGCACCACGCCATGACTACGAAAGAAAACGACGCCTTGCACGATCTGCTTGCATATTTGTCATGCAGGCTTTCGAACTAAGTCCCTGAGGTCTGCGCAAGAGCGAAGGACGTCGTGCACGAGGATAGTATGTGTTCCGTTCGGACTGCGAAGCACAAAATTATCGAGGAGATGTAGGACATGTCGCTCTGGCGCAAACGGTAGTCGGTTGTGGATAGAGTCGCTCTCTCTCGCCTCATGAGCCTGCCGGTCTTTATTGAGACCGTCCTCCTCCACTCTGTATGTTTTTCATAAAATGTCTACTTACGGGAGACAGCCTGCAGGTGCTGGGTTGCGACGTGGCCTCTATGTCTGCCTGACGTTCATATGGCTGCGCGGCGCGCGTGTTCAAATGCGCGGATGAGCAAAATCACTGGTCAAGATCGAGGGGATAGACGACAACGATGAATATTGAGATTGCCAGCAGTTTACAGCCATCTAATGCTTACGCACTGTGTATCCATTCTGCGTATTATACGTCGTAATGTTCTGATCGCATAAATTAATGCTCAGTCTCGTATACAAAGTGTCTGAATTATTAACGATCACCTATAGAACTATCAAGACAGATAGACGAGCCCGGACATTACCATGACATTGAATACAACAAGGCAACCAAGTAGTACAACAACCAGTACGGATACAAAAATCGTTCAGAAGGGCGAGTGCGGATACTCCGTCGATGTAGCAGCTTCTACGCCCGGGACAACCGACTGGACAGCCACTGGTGACTTCGGAAGAGTGTCAAGATCGGACGTAAGTATTGATTCTCTTGACGATGACTTCACGCTGTTGACGATTAATGTGGATGACGCTAACGGCGGGACGTCTCCCCTGCCATCCGGAGTCCGCTCTTGACCATTGGGTCTTTCATTCGGCGAACCCGCTTCGGTGAAAATTTTCATCTCAGTCCCTGTAAAGTCATCCGGAAGCAGTGCTCGTGGGGGCAATTGAGGAGTTGTTCGGGGAGTAAGCCTGGTCTCCTTAGACTGTACCGTTTGATCAGGCGACATCTCCCGCTGCCTCGGCGTCGTACGTGGCGCATAGCGACCTTCTCTACTCCTCGAACGCGCCCTCAGCGGCGCGGTCAGGGGAGGTGGCATCTGACTTTCGATAGTCCTTGGCTGAACAGGGAGTGATTGACGTGAGGGTAGAGCAGACATCGGACCTGTGCGTAGGGATGGATGTATGCTGCTAGGCGGATGAGGGGGCAGTTGGGGCGTAAAATCTTCTGGAGAACGGGAACCACTAAAGGGAGGTGGTGGTCGGGGTGGTAAAGATGGAGAGCGTGAGAGTGGTGGGCTGCGCTTAGGCGATGGCGGAGGCCCTATCTTTGGTACTTTGGTGTGCGAGGGGCCGTGAGGCACCATAAGAGTAGATTCTCCTACCAGCTGAGCCGAAGGTAATGGAGGTGATCCCGAGGATGAAAACAATGTCTGCGCATGCATTATGAGGTCTTCCGCTAACGTGTCCTATAGATGAATGTATTAGTGCTGAAGGCACCCCATATGCCAGAATAGCTACCCTCCAAGACTGCACACTCAACAAATCACCACCCTTGGGCATCTCATCCTCCCCAAATATGACCGCACCAAACACGATAGCCAAGTTTTTGGCATCCATCTTGTTCTTCTCGGAGTTTGAAGCCACACGCATTAAATGTTCAACGATCATTTTCAAGGTGGCTTGATGGACAGGTGGTAATCTTCGAATCTTACTGCGTAATAGCTGGAAGTCATTGGCTTTATGTTCATCTAAACAGCCATCAGCCTCACTCGGCATATATTCACATATAAAAACGCACCAAGCTCCTCAGTATGCTGGATACGCTCTTGAAGAGGGAATTTAAACAACGGCTCCGGCAATTCACGAAGATATAGCTGAATTACTATGTCAGTAACAGGAGAGATCCCATTGAAACGCGTGGGATACCTTCAGAAGTGATGCCACAGCGTAGACGTCGTCTATGGCATAATTGAACATAAACGATGTTTCGTTACGCTCGACCTTGTGCTGAAGCTGTAAACAAGACCGTAAGGTCATGCCTGATTAATTCCGAGTCTGATGCTTACCTCCTGGACAGAAGCATGCCGGCCCGACACCTTTGTCGCAGATGTCAGTCAATCTTCCAAATTCGCGACCACCATGACGGCTCACTCGATAAATCCCCTCGGCTTCCAAACCCCTTCTCTCAATCTCCTTAATGCACACCCGCACGATCTTCGGGACTTCGCCTTCAGTGAGGTTTCGAGCAGTGGCATAATCTACCAAGCTGACGCCAAAGATGAGGTCTTTACACTCTCCAACGTTGTAATTGTAATAATATACGGGCTTCGGGACAGCGGCTAAGAGCATTCGAGGAATATTGGTTCCAATTAATGCGCTGTCCTTCTCCGAAGAAATCTTCTCGACGATCCGTCGACCATGCTCCGCAATTTGGATCTGTGTTGTAGATGTTGCACTGCAATCCACATATCAGAATCGTAAGCCATCTCATACAATGGGTCAGAGAGATTGGGATAGCGTACACCATATTGTCCGTATATCGCACTAGTGAGGCCTTCACAATCTCCGCAGCTTCGCGCACGAAAGATTCCAGGCTCTGTACTTCTGTCAATGGTGTTTTGTAGGTTGTACCAACGCGCACGCACATTGTAACCGGATTCAAGTATTTTCACTCTGCGGAGGCGCAGTGTCTCCAACCAATGAACGCCTTTCCTGTATTCTTTATCTTCAGAAACAGGCCCTCAGAACCGGTCGATCAGGTAAAGACGAAACAACCCCACTAACCTGACTCTTCTGCCTCGCGCTTGGCGCGTACGGAGCGCAGCGCATTGTCAGAACGCCCAGAAAGATCTTTCATGTTTCCGCCCTTGTCAAGTAGTGTAATGAGTTGATTCAACCCTTTCTTTCCTATATAAAAAGTTCAGGAATTATTTACGCCAAAGAGGCACAATTTCTACCTTGATGAAATGCATCTTGCAAGGCCGTCGAGGTAGAAGGCGAACGTGCATGGGAGGAAGGGGCGCCGACGGACGGGCGGCGGTCAAGTGGCCTGAGTGGCTGTGGTGCGGTCACAATGGGCCGTGCAGAAATATTTGGATTCGGCTTGATCGCAGAACTACCAGTGGTAGGGTCAAATGAACCCGTAGCTTGCTGTGACGCGACGGCTGCCGCGGCGGTTCTGTAGTCCTTGTGGGGATGTCACAACAAGAAAATACAAGGACACGACGTAGATACCTCAGCATCTTGGCATTTCTTTAGATAATTGCGTTTCAATCTGGGTAGGACGTTCTCTGAGTAGTCCGTGTGCGTATTGACTGCCTCTTTCAAGTCTTCTTTGACACGCTTTCGAATGCGATCTTGTGTTTCCTAAGCTGGTCGAATCGCATGCGTGCTCAGCATACATGTGAATACAATAATGCGCACCTTCAGAGCCATTAACGGACTGACGACGTCTGTGGTCAGGGTGCCGAGGAATGCCACACGAGTGTCGGCCTCTGCTTAATGGTCAGGGTTTGGTTCTCCATAGGGATACAACAATATTGCACACCTCTTGCAATGTTGTCCCGTATCTCAGCCCAAGCAGCTCGCGTTGTGTTCAAGTCACCACCACGACTCGGGTCATCGAGAATGAGATCAACAGTCTTCACCTTGCGATGGAGTCTCAGGAGCGATTCGACACTGATTGAAAAGTGTTATCAACAGAAATGGTAGAGCACGCGAGTCAGACACACTATGTCTCTTCTATCCTGCGACTGCGGGGAAAGTTAGACGAAAGCGCGCCATCAAGAAGCCAGATATGCGCACCGCTCTTGAAAGAAGCTCAGGTATGAGTCAGTCAGGAACTTGAGATGCAGATCAAAGAGAGCAATCGCATCCTGAGATGGAGGATCTGATAGGGAGGGACGGGACGATGGGAGACTGTCCTGCGAGGACATTGTGGTGGAGAGAGCGCACTGTGCAGGGCGTCGAACTTGGCGCGTGCCAGGCGATCAACCGTATCACGTGCAATCGTATGCACCGAGATCCGACTTCGACCCGCCTGACTCTCCGAGCCGACTGAGAATACTCGAATACAGCACGACCTGTTTAGTGTTCGGAGAGTCTTGGGCTACTTTAGAAAAATTGGCTCTTGTCAGCTCAAAAAATGCCCGTCATCTCAACAAGAAGGATATTGTCGCGGCTCTCAGAGGAGCAATAAGGGAGAGTCGACGGCAATCTGAGATGAATTGACAGTGAGTCTTGGAGTCCCGACTGTCGCAGATGGATCTCGACGTCGCCTGAGACTCAGACTCAGAGTACTTATGGTGACGCGTCCACGTGATGAACGCGTGGACTTTATGAGGCTTTGTGCGCTTTGGTGACCGGCTTGATCCATACCTTCGAGTCTCCTGCTCACTCACCACAACTTTCGAAATAATGGCGTCTCTTTCTCAGACGTCTCAGAACGATGACGAACAGGTTCAAGCATCCGGGCCTCTTCTTGTCCAGAAGCTCCAGGAAGCGGGCATCAATGCGCAAGACATCAAGAAGCTCGCCGAGACAGGCCTGCATACAGTGGAGGCAGTCGCATATACCCCCAAGAAATCCTTGATGCAAATAAAGGGTATTTCAGAGCAGAAGGCGGATAAGATCCTGGCCGAAGGTGCGTCTCATCTCCGTTGGGCAAGGTCACTAGTCGTTGAGACACGAGTAGCCCACAAGATCATCCCGCTGGGGTTCCAGAGTGCGACGGAAGTACACGCGCGGAGATCAGAACTAGTACATATAACAACTGGCTCGAAGAATCTTGACTCTCTGCTTGGCGGCGGCATAGAAACTGGTTCCATCACCGAGTTATTTGGCGAGTTCCGTACTGGCAAATCGCAGATATGCCACACGCTAGCAGTAACGTGTCAGCTACCTGTTGATATGGGTGGAGGGGAGGGAAAATGTCTCTACATTGATACAGAGGGCACGTTCCGTCCTGTGCGGCTCCTGGCTGTCGCGGAGAGACTAGGCTTGAACGGAGAGGAGGTACTTGACAATGTCGCGTACGCGAGGGCGTACAACGCAGATCATCAATACCAGCTTCTAACCTCTGCGAGTGCGTTGATGTCAGAATCAAGGTGAGACCATCTGATCGACTACTGCATGTATGCGCGTTGGCGACCGTGATTCACCATACATCTCGTAGATTCTGCTTGCTCATTATCGATTCCTGTACTGCTCTTTATCGGACGGATTTCAATGGACGTGGTGAGCTGTCTGCACGTCAGGCTCATCTCGGCAAATTCCTTCGTACACTGCAACGGCTGGCCGATGAAGTACGATTCCATCATGGCCGATTCTCACCGAGCATTGTATGCTGATCATTCATGACTTGCAGTTCGGGATTGCTGTTGTAATGTCAAATCAGGTCATGTCGAATCCAGACGCCTCTGCGGGCCCATACGTTGCTAACGAGAAGAAGCCGATCGGAGGAAACATCTTGGCACATGCATCGACGACACGGTACGTGGAATGCGTAATCTGTGATCGATCTGGCCAAGCTGAAGTTAATGATCTTAGGGTTCAATTGAAGAAAGGACGTGGTGTAAACCGACAAGCTAAAATATATGATTCACCGTGTCTGCCGGAGTCTGAGACAACATTCGCTATTCTTGCAAGTGGTATTGGAGATCCAGAAGAGGATGCATGATATCAGTCTGTATGGACATGCTGGTGGATACTCGGAATCCTCAGCGCCGGATTATCAGATTTCTTTCTCATGGGAGCGGATTGATACTCAAATATTGCACTGCGTAGGTAATGCATGCATGCATGAATTATTCCCGTCGATGATGTATATTACAATGCTATATTACATTTGCAAATCCACGTATTAGGAGGCATCCAGTTGAATGGATGTTAACATACAGCTCTAACCCATTATTTGAGCCACGGATACCTACATGCCGCAATACCGGCTTTTCACGCACAAAGCATATACATATCTACACCAAGAGTCGCGTAAGTATGTTCGCCCGCGTTCTGCTTATGAGCTCCTGCAGCTTGTTCACATCGCTCGGACTGACATCCGCAATATCCGCCATGAGATAAGCCACATCGCCCTTCGAGTCGGAGTATTGTTTCTCCACATTGTACGGCGAGAGGATCTCATTCACCTGTCGCAGCACACCGGGGATGTTGTTGTGGACGTGACATAGCCTGACCCCCTGTTGTTGTTCTGCGCTGATCGCCCGTAGATCGACTTCTGGGAAGTTGACAGAGCCCACAGTGGAGCCGTAATTGAGATAACGGGCGACAGAAGCCGACACCTCCTCTCCAATCATGCGTTGAGCCTCCTCGGTCGACCCGCCGATATGGGGCGTCAGGATGACGTTCGGAATAGAACGAAGAGTGCTTGCCCAGGAGTTAAGCTGGTCGTCGAACGGCGAACCGTTGGCTCCAGGCTCGACAGGATACACATCCAGGGCACATCCAGCAAGATGACCCGATTTCAACGCGTCGGCTAGGGCTGGAATGTCCACCACTCTCCCCCGCGCATTATTCACGAGGTACGAACCCTTCTTCATCTGCGCGAGCTGCTCTCTAGAGATCATGTTTGTCGTCTCGGGGAGTTCAGGGACATGGAGCGTGACAAAGTCAGAGTCGTTGAGCAGGGCGTTCAAGTTGTCGACTTGTCGTGCGGAGCCGAGGGGCATGATGGTGACGACATCAAAGAACAGGACGCGCATGCCGAGCGCTTCCGCAAGGACAGAGAGCTGGGAGCCGATGTGGCCGTATCCAACTATGCCCAAGGTCTTTCCACGGACCTCCCAGCACCCCTTTGACTGCTTGTTCCAGATACCCTGGCGCATCTCGGAGGCTCTTTCAAAATATTGTCTGGAGAGAGCGATGACTTCGGAGATGACGAGCTCTGCGACAGAGCGCGAATTGGAGAAGGGCGAATTGAACACAGGGATACCGGCCTTTGCTGCGGTAGCAAGATCGACTTGGTTGGTCCCAATACAGAAGCAGCCGATGACAAGGAGCTAGGAGGGTAGGATGTCTGAGTAGAAAGAATGCGTGCGGAAAGGAGACACTCACTTTCGAGGCTGCTTTTATGACTCGCTCGGTGATCTTCGTCTTGCTCCGGATGCCAATGGCATGGTATGAGGGGAGCTTCTCCACGAGCTCGTCCTCGGACATGGCCTTGGAGTAGTGGTCGACCGAGAACCCCTGTGCGCGGAATGTTTTGACGGCTTCCTGGCTGATATTTTCGAGGAGAAGAAGCTTGAGATCCTCGTTGTCTACCGGATGGAGGACCTTGGGTATGCGCACGGCTGAGGAGACGAGGGAGTCGCGGCGAGCGACGGAGGCGGCCATTCTGTCGTGGATGGAGGGACTGGAGGGGGAGACTGCGACGGCGTGGGGGGCAGGGGTGGACTGGGGGATGCTGATTGAAGACGCCATGATGAGCTTTGGGCCAGATGCGGGCGAGGCAGCCCTGCCCGCCCAAATTTCGAGGGCGCTGGAGTCATCCTGCCGCTGGAGCGCAGGCGCCCGTGTGCGCCAGCGTCCAGGCCGCGATTAGATTAGATTCCTGCTCTCCTCCTCCCGCCATGGGCCTCTACCTCCTCGACTACGGCGCAGGCAACGTCCAGAGCCTCGCCAACACCCTCGCAAAACTTGGTCATGACTTCCAGTGGATATCATCCCCCGCCGACTTCCACAAGGCTACCGTCAGTCCTTCCGTCCATTCTATCCATCTCAACATGACCCACTTCCTCGTCTTCTAGAGCCTCATATTCCCCGGTGTCGGTGCATTTGGAAGTGCCATAGACGGCCTTGTTTCGCGTGGCTTCCTCGAGCCTCTCAGGGAATACATTGCCTCCGGAAAACCTTACTTTGGAATCTGCATCGGCATGCAGGTTCTCTTCCAATCATCGACGGAGTCCCCCGCGTCTACCGGCTTGGGCCTGATACCCGCTGTGATAGAGGAGTTTTCTAGCATCGACAAGTCCGTCCCCCATATGGGCTGGAACTCAGTGCAGCTCATCGACCCGGCAAATCACGAGGGCCTGAAGGAGTCCAACCATTACTATTACGTCCACTCATATCGCGCTCAGTACGACTGGAACACGCCCGAAGCCGCACAATGGGTTCACAGTACCACACAGTACGGCCAGGAGATCTTTGTCGCCACTGTTCGCAAGGGTAACGTTTTCGGCACACAATTTCATCCCGAGAAGTCAGGTTCAGCCGGTCTCGATCTTCTTGCGGCATGGCTAGGACAGCCCGAGTCATCCCGAGCATCGTCGTCTCCTGGCAAATGTGTTCCTCGACCACCCAAGGCGAAAGATGGTCTGACAAAACGTGTCATTGCGTGCATGGACGTGCGCTCGAACGACAATGGTGATCTTGTCGTTACCAAGGGCGATCAATACGATGTACGCGAAAAAGCACCATCCGAGGCCGGCGCCGAGTCTTTGCGAACGCGCACTGCCGGCGCCGTGCGCAACTTGGGCAAACCCGTTGCCCTCGCCGCACGATACTACGCTGCCGGCGCGGACGAGCTCTGCCTCATGAACATCACGTCGTTTCGCCACTCGCCGCTGCAAGACCAACCGATGCTCGCAGTCGTGCGCGCAGCTGCGGAGGAGGTGTTTGTCCCCCTCACCATCGGAGGTGGGATCAAGGACACAGTCGACCCGGACGGGACGCCGCGCTCCGCACTCGAGGTCGCTGGTGCATACTTCCGCGCTGGTGCCGACAAGGTGAGTATCGCAACCGAGGCCGTCTATGCCGTAGAGCGGATGCGGGCTCGTGCTTCGGACGCGGAGATAGGCGAGGGAGACGGGACCAGTGCGATCGAGACGATTGCGCATGCGTATGGGCGGCAAGCTGTCGTTGTTTCCATCGACCCGCGCAGGGTCTACGTCGATCGAAGTTATGATGGGCCGTACAAAGAGGAGGTAGTATCCGAGAAGGACGGCAGTAGAGCCTGGTGGTACCAATGTACTGTCAAAGGCGGAAGGGAAGACCGACCGCTGTCAGTCGTGCAGCTCGCCCAAGGTGTTGAAAAACTCGGCGCGGGAGAGATCATTCTGAACAGTATTGACCGCGATGGCACGGGCCAAGGCTTCGACATTGACTTGCTGACGCTCGTCCGAAAGAGTGTGCACATACCTGTGGTAGCGAGTAGCGGGGCGGGGAAGAAGGAACACTTCGTGCAGGTGTTCGAGCAGACAGGAGTGGAAGCTGCCCTAGCCGCTGGAATCTTCCACCGCCAGGAAGTTGGAATTGATGAGGTGAAGGCTGCTTTAGCTACGGCACAAATCAAGGTGCGGACTTGACCACGCCATAGAGCACGATATCGCTGGGCGATATGCATTTAGATGTAAAACGTAGCAACATTTATAGAGCCTCTCATACTCACCTTCACGTGGGAAATGATCAGAAATACTCACTAAGCTCACTTTGTCTTGCGGTTTACCAGTCCCAAACTCATAGAGTCGTGCTCATGTTTGTGACACGTTCACAGCGGCGTTCAAACATTCAAATCTGTAAGTCGCCCTATTGATTAAAAAAAAAAA